GGGCGAAAGCCCTACTAAGCAGGTATATACAAAAGTATGAAGGCTATTGCTTAACGCATTGTAAGCCGCCCTGAGTCTCCGGAAAAGGGCGGCATATAAATCGAACCAATAAAATAAAAATAAAATAAACTCACCTTGGATAGTGACACTCAATGGGCACATCAACGGGGCTGGTTCTTACAATCACACTGTGGGAAGGAGTTGGCTTGTAATGAAGACTGATGCTGTAGACTAGAAATTCTGGAGTCATCTAGAGAAAGGAAGGAAAGATGAGATACAAGATGGCCTGTTGGCTCAGCAGACTGATAGCATTGTGATTAACACCAGCTGCCTGCAATTACTGCAGGTTCGAATCTCCCCAGGCTCAAGGTTGACTCAGCCTTCCATCCTTTCTAAGGTAGGTAAATTGAGGACCCAGTTTGTGGGGGCAATAAGCTGACTTTGTATAAAATATACAAAAGGATGAAGGCTCTTGCTTAGCGCATTGTAAGCCGCCCTGAGTCTCCGGAGAAGGGCAGCATATAAATCAAATAATAAAAAAAAAAGATGCAGTAATAAACCAGAATTTGGTTTATTCCGAAGTGAATTTGGTGCTTGTAATACAAGGGGAACTTCTTGGCATGGGAAAAACACCGGTTCTTCAAAATCTTGGAATAGCAGAAAACCTCACACCAAGTCTGTTCTGAGTTCTTTAATTTTTGTGGTTTTTTTGTTTGTGTTAAAGGCAGCTAGAGCCAAACAAATGTAAAACAACCCCCAGGTGACACACTAAAGTAATGAAAGCCTTTTCTACACCTTCGCATTTTCAGAAAGTCACCTCCTCCTCCCAGTTGTAACTTGTGGCAGAATGCTGGTTTAATTGCATTCTTCTACCAACTCCCAGAGATCTAGGAAATAGAGATAGAATAATAGAGTTGGAAGGGACCTTGGAGGTCTTCTAGTCCAACCCCCTGCCCAGGCAGGAAACCCTACACCACTTCAGACAAATGGTTATCAATCATCATCTTAAAAATTTCCAGTGTTGGAGCATTCACGACTTCTGGAGGCAAATTGTTCCACTGATTCATTGTTCTCACTGTCAGGAAATTTCTCCTTAGTTCTCCTTGATTAGTTTCCACCCATTGCTTCTTGTCTGGCCTTCAGGTGCTTTGGAGAATAGCTTGACTCCCTCTCCTTTGGGGCAGCCCCTGAGATATGAGAAGACTGCTATCATGTCTCCTCTAGTCCTTCTTTTCATTAAACTAGACATACCCAGTTCCTGCAACCGTTTTTCATATGTTTTAGCCTCCAGTCCCCTAATAATTGGGTACTTCAGAACAGAAAGAAAGAGGATTGGAAGGGGAAGAAAGGAAAAAAAAGGGGGGGGGGAAGGGGAAACAGTACCTAGGAAAGAGAAACATTGGTGGTTCTTGTGAATAAGCCAGCTGTTTTTTTGTCCTGAAAATTGGGCTCTCCTGCTTAAGCAGGGGGCTGGACTAGAAGACCTCTAGGGTCCCTTCCAGCTCTATGCTGATTCTAATTATCCTAGGCTAGCAAGGCTACATCTAGGGACCTGCCCAAAGAGACAAGGATTGGGGTTTGCAGAACACCTCCCACCCTTACCTGCAAGACACTCTCACACTCATGAAGGCCTACATCAAAGATCACAGTCTTCTCAGCGTCATTGTACCACGTGGGTTGGCAGCCAGTTGGACCCAAGCTCAGGTCCTCCGCCTGGACGAGTCTCCCGGTGCCAAACAGGTCTCTCTTCACAGTCACCACCACATGGGCCTCTCCGCACTGGGCCAGCACAGGTGACAGGAGGGACAAAGCTCGTGCCTGAGAAGCATCTACCCAAGCATAAGGGTAAGTCTCCACCCCAGAAGGTAGATAAAGCTGCCTCATAGGAACAGGAGTGTTAGAAAACCCCCAAACATAATCTCCGGGGTCCAAGGAGGCCACTTCCCCAATTAGCCAACATGCTAAAACAATGGCCAGATTCTGTAAGGTTCCCATCCTGTCTGTTCTAGGAAGCTGGCAGAAAAGACCAACATCTACCCAGGATCCTTTTTATGCTAGGTAACTCCTGAAGGCCAACCTTCCCTCACCTGGCTGAGATAATCAGGCAGCTAATCAGCTTCTGCTTCAGCCAGCGCAAATCCTGCAAAGCACCAAGAAAACATGAGTTTGGATCTCCCCCCAGCTGCAAGCTCTCTGCAGCCAGAGGGAGAGAAGAGGTGATTTAATGTAGGTTAAGAGTTTCAGCCCTTCTTCTGAAAGTACTTAGATTTACATAGGGCCAACAGAGGGTGTGATCAACTGGTTGAAGTTACATGGGGGTATCTCAAAGGTCCTTTTTCCAAAATTCATTTTCTTGGGTTTGTTTTTTTTTAATGCTTCTCTCCTCATCCAAGAAGCTTCTTCAGTTCTTCAGAAGAAGCTTCATGGATGAGCAATGAAATGTTTTCAAAGGAAAAAAACAAAACAAAAGATTGGACAACCATTTGTCTGAAATGGCCATAAGGTTTTCTGCTTGAGCAGGAGTTGGACTAGACTAGAAGACCTGGCTTCAAGGTCTTGTTATTCTATTAAAGTTCCATTGCATTTCTGCTGTTTCTGCTAGTTTTTTGGAACTTAAAAGGTCCTTAAAAGGACCGTGGGGTTGTGTGTGAAGCCAGGAGATCCTCGCGGATGTCTGGCTACCAGTCCGTCTGTTACTCATTTAGCACCACCCAGGAGGCACGTGTGACTTAAGGATTGCCACGGACGCGAGTAACGTTGCCTCCCAAAGTTGGGGTGTGTGCTGACTCCCTGTATAAATGGGGAAAGACACCTTCAGCACAATGTGATTGCGGGGCCCCTCGACAGACTATCCAGCATATAGTGAGGGAATGCCCTAACAGAAGGTATCCAGGAGATTCTAGGGACTAGGGGCATAACAACGGCAGCTACTGACTGGATCTCCAAACTCAACATTAAACTTTGAAATGTTATTTCTGTTTTCCTTTTAGGTTTTCTTACTGGTTTTTTTTATTGTTTTTATTGTTTTTAACCTGTAAAAATGAAGTGTTTTAATACTGTGTGTGAGACCAACCATACGCTAAATAAATAAATCCATTGCATTTTTGGAAAAACCAAGGAAGTCCAGTTGCCTTTTGGAAAAAGGACCTTTGGTTGAGACTCTCCAGAGACACACACAGGAGGGATCTGGAGCAGAGAAGATAGGAGCCTCCACAAGAAAGTGGAGAGGAATTTTAGGCAGGTCCACCCCATCTTGAACCTGCAAGACAAGAGGGCATCTCAAACTCTTGGAAGTAAAACCCAAAGCAATAATAACAGAGATTCACCTGTCCTCTGGGTGCTTAATATGAGTTGTAAGAGTGTCCCCTAATTTTATCCCTGCAGAAACAACCTGATATGGTAGGCTGAGGGAACCTGACTGCCTTCTCTTCCAAGTTCTGAGGTCAGGTAGAAAATCTGAACCCAGGTCTAGAATGATGTTTGCTTGAGTTTAGACCAATGTCTGACTGAATGCAGTACAGTAGTGAGTGATCAACCATTTTCAGATGGTTTGGGACAGGAGTGAAATCCAGCAGGTTCTGACAGGTTCTGGAGAACCGGTAGCGGAAATTTTGAGTAGTTTGGAGAACTGGCAAATACCACCTCTGGCTGGCCCCAGAGTGGGGAGGGAATGGAGATTTTGCAATATCTTTTCCCCAGGAGTGGGGAGGGAATGGGGGTTTTGCAATATCCTTCCCCCTGGAGTGGGGAGGGAATGGAGATTTTGCAATATCTTTCCCCAGGGGTGGGGAGGGAATGGGGGTTTTGCAATATCCTTCCCCATGGAGTGGGGAGGGAATGGAGATTTTGCAACATCCTTCCCCAGGGCTGGGGAGGGAATGGGGGTTTTGCAATATCCTTCCCCAGGGGTGGGGAGGGAATGGAGATTTTGCAAGATCCTTCCCCTGCCACGGCCACCAAGCCACGCCCACAGACCCGGTAGTAAAAAAAAATTTGAATTCCATCACTGGTTTGGGGTGGGTGGGTAAAAATATTCCAGTGTTTCTGAGTAAATTACATACAGGATCTCAGAGAGGGACATTTTGCTGAACTAAATTTCTTTTATGTTTTCTTTACTTAGTAACTGTATACAAAATTAAGTTGGTCATGCTTGGAAGCCATCATTCATATATACTCCTAGTTTACTATTAGGCAGACATTCTGGGTGGTTCAAAAGAATCCAACATTAGCAACGTTTTAGCTGCAGAACGTGTGAACTCAGTCATTCAGGGGTCTGGCAAAGTTAATCCTTGTTGGAATTAGAAATTCTTTACCTTCTGGGCTGGGTTCACACCATACAAGCTACAAATAAACTAGGATGGCTTGATGCAGTATCTCCTGCTGGGATTTTGTCCAAAAAATACTGTAAAACAATGTGATATTTGTAGGCAAGGCAAACAGATCTCATCTTTAATAATTTTAAGGGACTTTTAATGTTTGTATTATCTGTATTTTATCTTGGCTGTTCACCGCCCTGAGTCCTCCGGGAGTAGGGTGGCATAGAAATTTGATAAATAAATAAATAAATGAATGAATGAATGAATGAATGAATGAATGAATGAATAAATAAATAAATCTTAAAAGCAGTGGTTCTCAAACTTGGCACCTTAAAATTGTCTAGCCCTCAACTCCCAGAATTCCCTAGCCAGCATCCCTGACTGAGGAATTCTGGGAGATGAAGTCCAGACTTCTTCAAGTTGCTAAAATTGGGAAGCACTGCCTTAAAAATGGTTGCATTGTGCAAGGATGGCTTTCTGGCTTTGCCATTTCCTAAACAAGAGCCAGATATGTGTGTGTTGTACACGTGTGTGACACTCAGTCATTTAAGGGACCAACAGCTGAGCCGAACTATAGTTACGGTTTCAGATTCAATGCAGCAGGAGAATGCATGCCGCTAGAGGAAAGGAATATCAGGTGCATGTCCTAATGGCCAAGTTTCAATGAAAACGGAGAAGAGAAACTCAAAAGATAACATAGTTTTATTGGTTTGAGTTTACAGTAGAAAAAGGATTTTGCTGAAGCATCTGTTCTTAATAATCTCACATTCTCAATATGTAAATTTGTGGATAGAAGCTTGACCTCAAATCCTTAAGATTATCTGACCTCCCAAGACAACCAGATACTTAAGGATTCCAAGGCACCAACTGGGCCCTTTGAGAAGTGAAAGAGGTTGATCAGAAGCAAACTTAGCCTGGGATTTCAGAAAGGAAGTTGTAAGTATTATAACTTCATTGCAACTTCTAATATTGCCATTGTATTTAATCTACATGAAGGATATATGACGAGATTCCTTGGATCGGAAGACATAGAAACTGGGGAAAAAACAACAACACATGTGACATTAACAGGTACTGCTAACTTTGACTTCTAGCCTTTTTTCTCACTGACTAGGGTTTTTTGGAACTGCTGGTAGCAACTACCACTGAAGATGTTCTCAGTTTCCTAAAACACTAGCTGAGCTTTTGTGGTGGACATTCAGATGTCATATCGTCAATTATTTCATGTGTATGAGCAAAGAGTCCCTTGAGAGATACCATGATGGACTGAGAAGACCTTTTGGCTTGCATTATGGCTTTAAACCATAATGCGACCTGCACAAAGTTGTCCTGTGAACCTTGTCCTGTTGCGATTCGTAAATCAAGCCTCATGGTGTCGCTTCATGCACAGCCTGGAGCTTGGATAGCTCTGCAGACAAGGCACTGCAATTTAACACCAGCTGTCTGCAATTAAAGTAAGTTCGAATCTTGCCAGGCTCAAGGTTGACTCAGCCTTCCATCCTTTCTAAGGTAGGTAAATTGAGGACCCAGTTTGTGGGGGCAATAAGCTGACTTTGTATAAATATACAAAAGGATGAAGGCTATTGCTTAACGCATTGTAAGCCACCCTGAGTCTCCGGAGAAGGGCGGCGTATAAATCAAATTTAAAAAAAAACAAAAAACAAACCTAACCATCTGTGGTTGAGTCCATAAAGCACTTTGATGTGGTCTATGAAAAACTCAGTCATGTTCTCATGAATGTTATCAGGAGACCTTTGGCCAGCTATATATATCACCCAGGCCTGTGTGGTTTCACTTCAGAAGAATTCCCTTGTGTTCACAGAGGGGTCATTTTAATCCCCTAGTAACTAAGAGTGTTCCTTAATGAATCTCTGGAAGGGAAGAACCTTGAGAGGACGATGGGAGGTTTCGGAAATAGGCGCGGATCTTGCTCAACCGTATAATTTTTTTCTCCCCGATCCTCCGCCTGCTGTTCAAACACCTGCACAGTTTCGTCAGCCCGTTGTCGGGATCGCTTTGATAGACAGACTGCAGCATGGTAAGGGAGATGTTATGCAGGGCCAAAGTCTGCACCGAGGGCATGGAGAGGACTTTCTCCCGCAGGAGAGGTTGAAGCGAGGCGTAACACCTGAAGCTGGAGCAGGCAATAAGAGGCCTACTCTGGAACATGTTGTTAATTTCAAAGATGGTACAGAGGTCCTTCAGAGTTTTGGCACACTCGCCTGCGTTGGTGCTGTCCAGCTGTCCCCACAGGTATATCTTGTCTAAATTCTTCAGTGAATAATTAGAGATATCAGGGAATTTCTCTTTGATGAGGGGGAAGGCATCCAGGAAACCAAAGATGGACGCCTCAAAGAGTCCTTCTGTGTTGATTCTCTGAAGGGCATCAAGCAGAGCAGCGAGGTCCATGGACCATAGCTTGTATCCCACCAAAATGGGCATCTGGAGGCTGCCGAGATAGTGGAGGAACTCATCCAAGCCAAACACACAGATTTTGTCGTTTGTATTTTCCAGGCAAGAAATCGTGACACGGAAAAAGGTTCCCTCTCCAAGAGCGACCAGGTGAAAGGTATTTCCTGCTGCATTGAAAAGAGAGACATCATTGATCCAGGTTGAGGGATGAAAGCAGGGGTGAAATGCTCCCGGTTCGGACCAGATCGCCCGATCCAGTAGTGATGGAGGCGGGTGGTTCGGAGAACCGGTAGCAAAAATCTCTGCGCCCACCCCCCCCATGCCCAGCTGAACTGCGCGAACATCAGAGGCTTTTTTTTTACTTTTAAAAGCATTTTTTCTACAACCTCTTCGGCCGAAAAAATGCTTTTAAAAGTTTAAAAAAAAGCCTCTGATGATCGCGCGGCTCAGCTGGGATTGTCAAAGGCTTTTAAAGGAAAACCCCCCCTTTTTTTTCTTTTAAATGCTTCTGACGATCCCAGCTGAGTTGCCTGATCGGCAGAGACTTTTTTTCTTTTAAATGCCACTAACGATCAGGCAACTCAGCTTGGATCGTCAGAAGCATTTAAAAGAAAAAAATCTCTGCCAATCAAGCTGAGTTGCCTGATCGTCAGAGGCATTTAAAAGAAAAAAAAGCCTCTGCCGATCAGGCAACTCAGCTGTGATCATCAGAGCCTTTTGAAAGCATTTTTTTAGAACCTCTTTGCTGAAGAGGTTGTAGAAAAAATGGTTTTAAAAGTAAAAAAAAAAAAAATTGGCCACACCCACCCAGTCACATTACCCCCACCACCACCACCAAGCCACGCCCACAGAACCGGTAGTAACAAATTTTACATTTCACCACTGATTCGTGGTGTCACGTGATTCCCCTTTTGCGACCTTCTGACAAGCAGTGTCAATGGGGAAGCCAGATTCACTTAACAACAGCATTGCTAACTTCACAACTGCACTCATTCACTTTCGACCACGGTGGTCGGAAAGGTCATAAAATGGGGGCAAAACTCACTTGGTAACAAAGGTCTCGTTTAGCAACAGAAACGTTGGGCTCAGTTGTGGTCGTAAGTCAAAGACTACTGGAAGTTTTTAAGAAGAAATCGGACGACCGTTTGTCTGGAACGGTTGCACGGAAAGTCGCAAAACGGGGCAAAACTCCCCATTTAACAAATTTCTCACTTGGCAACCTAAATTCTGGGCTCATATGTGGTCATAAGTGAAGGACTACGTACAGTCACTCATGCTCTCGTTATCTCGCATTTGGATTACTGCAATGCCCTCTACATGGGGCTGCCCTTGTGATGCACCCGGAGGCTCCAGCTGGTCCAGAATGCGGCCGCGCAGGTTGTTGGAGGAGCTTCCCGTTACTCCCGTGTAACACCACTCCTGTGCGAGCTGCACTGGTTACCGGTGGTCCTTCGGATCCACTTCAAGGTGCTGATACTTACCTATAAAGCCCTCCATGGCACGGGCCCGGAGTACTTGTAGGATCACCTCCTACCGGCCTCCCACCACCCAGTACGTTCACATAGGGCTGCCCTCCTCTGGGTGCCATCAGCCAGACAATGTTGGCTGATGGCGCCCAGGATGAGGGCATTCTCTGTGGGCGCACCGACCCTCTGGAATGGGTTACCCACTGAGCTCCGGATGGCCCCCGACCTCCGCTCTTTCCGCCTGAAGACATGGCTTTTCCAACAAATTGCCTGATCTGCTGGGAGTCTTAGTTTTAACTTTTTGGATTTAACTAATTGGATTATTTTACTATTAATTTTATTGTTCCGTTGTTTTACCTTTGTGAGCCGCCCCGAGTCCTTCGGGAGAAGGGCGGCATATAAGTATGAATAAACTAAACTAAACTAAACTACTTGTACTAGGGAGGCAGGGAGGAAGAAAGAAAGTTGCATGCCGAAAGAGCAAATAATACTGAATATATATATTTTTTAATTAGGTGCTAAATTAAAAAGACTGTGGTCGACCTTTGAGACTCAGCATGTATCATGAACATTCTTCCACAGGAACAATTGAAGAAGATGGAACGATGGAGTCTCCCGGGAATATTTGCACCAACTGGTTTGCTACCAGTTTGCTGGCTGCGCGTGCACATCTAATGCACGCTGCATGCACAGTACGCACCAAAAGGAGGCTTGGGAAGGTAAGCAGAGCAGTGAGGGGGGGGATCAGCTGTGCTGTGCGGTTTAGCTTCTAGCAAAGCTAAACCCCATGGCACAGGTGATCGTCGAAAATACCGGTTTGGATGAAACGGTAACTTTTTAAACTACTGGTTCGTTTGAACCGGTAGTTTTTATCACTACCGGTTCGCCCAAACCGGAGTGAACCGGTAGCATTTCAACCCCACCTGCACCCCTTCAAGGCTATGGGCCTTAGTGCTACACCTGTCAGAGGTGATGGTGTCACTCATGTTTTGTGGTGTCAGGTCATTCTAGGAAACAGAAGGTTGAGTTGACCTACTTCAGGCAAGTAGGGTTGATGTCCAGGGAAAGGACTGAGGCCTGCAAAAAACGTGAACCATCAATGTTATGCTCTGGAGATCCAGAACTACTTGACTTGTCCCAGGATACATATGGTCACAAACATCTTGGAGACCAAGGCCACTTACGTAGAGTCTTGAGGTCAAAGAATATGGTGCTGGACTCCAAGCTGACATTTGCAGGTTGGCTTAACGGATACCTCGTAGGGCTTTTCTGGCCAACTTGTGATGTAGTGTTGATGTCCAGGGGAAGAACTGAGGCCTGCAAAGAAGATGAACCATCAATGTTATGCTCTGGAGATCCAGAACTATTTGACTTGTCCCCTCAATCATGATATATTTTTGGTTAAAAAGTGGTAGAATTGAATCATGAAGCTCAATGGTCAAGCCAAGAGTTTTATTAACTTCAAGAACTAATGGACATATTGCAGTGAATAAATTGTAGTTAAGATCCTCCTTCAATGACAAGAAATCATATGAAACGGGCCAAATAATCTGTTTCCTCCATCTTAAGATGTGGTCAATTGAGATATTGCTGTCCCAGCCAATGCAGCAAAAGGAGGATCCGTGAATCGTTTCTTGAGGTGGCATAGATAAATGTCCTCAAATTTATTGGTCGACAAATCATTGTACCCAGTGATGGGATGCTGCTGGTTTAACAACCGGTGCAGTAATTGCGTGCTTCGCGCACTTTCACAAATACTAACCTTCTGTGTTACCACTTGGGTGTAACACAGCTGAGGCACGACAATCCACTTGTGAAGTTTCCGAGAAAGATGCCCTAATTAAATCATGCGCCTCGAGCCAAGTTTCAAAAGAAATCCAGTCATTTATTAGGAGCACCATTCTGGCAATTACTCAAATGGAGTCAGTTCTAACCCCCCACATTTTTTTAAAAAAATTTGATTTATATGCCGCCCTTCTCCGGAGACTCAGGGCGGCTTACAGTGCGTTAAGTAATAGCCTTCATACTTTTGTATATTTTACACAAAGTCAGCTTATTGCCCCCACAATCCGGGTCCTCATTTTACCTACCTTAGAAAGGATGGAAGGCCAAGTCAACCTTGAGCCTGGCAAGATTCGAATGTACTTTAATTGCAGACAGCTGGTGTTAAATTACAGTGCCTTGTCCGCAGAGCTATCCAGGCTCCACATGGTTTATTTATTATTTATTTTATTATTATTAATCATTTCTATGTCGCCCACTCTCCGAGGACTCTGGGCGGCTTACAACAATCAACAGTATACTAAGTAGCATATTGCCCCCAACAATCTGGGTCCTCATTTTGCCCACCTCGGAAGGATGGAAGGCTGAATCAACCTTGAGCCGGTGAGATTTGGTCTGCTGATCTGCTGAAGTAGCAGTCAGCTGAAGTAGCTGCAGTACAGCACTCTAACCACTGCGCCACCTCAGCTCTCAGGCCCCTATGACCCTGTTCCTCCCTTCCTCCCTGGGCATGTCATAAATCACGTTCTCCAATGGACCACCTTGGCGGGCTGAAAAACCCCACCCCTCCTGCTGACCGCAGTAACCTAGGGTACAATCTTTGACAAGGCAAAGTGTGGAATGTATTTTCTGTTGGGGCAGCCGAGCAGCTTCATCAGTTCTCCCCCTCTTGCTTATGGCAACTTGAAAGCTGGTCTGGAAAGCTTTGCAATTTGACACAGCTCTGCTGCGCCAATCAGCTGAGAAGATAAAGATAAGTAAAGCGCAGGGGCGGGGAGGGGGGTGCGTCGGAGTGAACTGGTTCGCTCCCAGCTGATCGTCGGAACTACCAGTTCGCCTGAACTGGTCTGAACCAGTAGAATCCCACCCCTGATTGTACTTCTTGGGCAGGGGTGAAATATTAGTGGTTCGCACCGGTTTGGGCGAAACGGTAGTGGTGGCGGAGGATGGTTCGGAGAACCGGTAGCGGCAGCACGAGGCTCCGCCCACTCACTTGGACGTCGTTACTGCCTGGTTTTAGCCAGGAAGTAACCTGTTTTTTACCCACTGCACATGGGTAGAAGGCTTTGTGCATGCGCAGAGGGTCCAAAATTGCATGTGACGTATGCGTGTACTTCCGAACTGGTAGGGAAGGTAAGTAGATCTCACTCCTGCTCTTGGGGCAGAAACTCATGTTATGAAGAGAATGCCAAGGAGGTGGCATTCTGGAACTAGGTGACTATGTACTCACCCCGGTTTCATCCTCATCATCAGTGGATTCTTCTTCTGAAGAAATGTTAATTGAAGAGTCATTTTCTGCCAAAGGGAGGACGGATGTTAAGTAATAGCCATAATGAAATCACAATGAAAAGCTACTTCTTGGATAATGTTCCATGACGTCAGCATCAATCACGACATCTATGTGTAGTGACCACACAGATCAGGGGTCCCCAACCTTTCGGACCTCAGGGACCACTAAATTCATAATTTTAAATCCCGCGGACCACTAATATGATCTGCCTTATGATTGGCTGGGTGGGCTTGGCCAACTCCTCACTTCCCCACCTGGGCTCCTTAGGGCCTCAACTGGAAGCAGTTGCTGGAGCTAAGCAGCCACCACGAGAAACAGTTGGCAAAACAGCTCAGTTCAAATTGGATTTGACCGAGAAGGAGGCTCAGAAGAAGCACCTCACTGAGGACTAGGAGCATAGGCTTTCCAAGGAGAGGGAAGACCTGTGAGAGTGCAAGGCCAGGTACCGGCGCCTAGAGGCTCAATGGGCTGAGATGGTCAGCCAGTTCCAGGCCATGATGCAGTCCCACTGGAACGAGGCCCTCCGGCTCTTTGCCACCTGCAGCACTTCCCTCCAGCCTTCGCCCAAAGCCTTGCACCAGGAGGCCGAAACAGACCCCGAGTCGGAATTTCTGCCCCCCTCCGACCGACACAAAAAGACCCCGAAGGGGGAGACTCTCTGCAGCAACACAAACATTCATTGCACGTATCTGTCCCAGGGGCTGTAGTTTGAGGAGCCCTGATTTAGTGCAATATTAAAAATATGGGAATGGGGATTTTGCAGTATCCTTCCCCTGCCACGCCCACCAAGCCACACCACGCCCACAGAACCGGTAGTAAAAAAGTTTGAATTTCACCCCTGTCCCCAAGTCAATCCACCTCACGGGGTTGTTTTGTAGGGAAAAGAGGAAGGAATATGAAGTATGTTTGCCGCCTTGAATTATTTATAAAAATAATGAAGGGGATGCAAATTGTTCCTTGCAATTTTGATAAGGCCTTTAATAACTGCTCCTGTAAATCAGAGGTCTTCGAACTTGGCCGCTTTAAGACTTGTGGACTTCAGCTCCCAGAATTGAAGTCCACAAGTCTTAAAGCGGCCAAGTTTGAAGATCTATGCTTTAAATAATCAAAAGGTCTTTTCATCAATCATCATCCTTGTGGCAGCGTTATTCTCGGGCCTTCCATGGAATGAACCTCGCTCATAAAGAAACTGCCCTCCATACCTCCCAAAAAATAGAATCCATTTTATGCATGAACTGAAAATTCTCTTGAAATTTCAAACGTAGCGCTACCTAGATCAGATGAATTCTCCTCAGGAGCAATCAGAAGAGTATCATCAGGGGTTCCTCTGGGGCCTCCTTGGCTTCCTGTGTTGTAAGAACCTCTAGTCAGTCCATAACTGGTCCCAGGCTCATTCTTCATCAGGGTGGGATTGTCCCATTCCTTATTGTTTAACGGCTCGATTTTGACCATCTTGGGAGGGTCCCCCGTGTTGATTTCCACTTCAGCGTATTCCCTTTTTAGCGATGATCTTCCAGAAAGGTTCTAGAAGAAAAACAAAAGTAATGGCGATATTTCAGAGGTGAGAGGCGTACCTGGGGTACGTCCTTCGCTTACAGCCATTCGTTTAGCGACCGTTCGAAGTTACAATGGCACCGAAGAAAAGGACTTGGGACCGTTTCTCACACTTACGACCGTGGCGGCATCCCACAATCAGGTGATCAAAATTAAAAATGCTTGGCAACTGGCATGTATTTATGATGGTGGCAATGTCACCTGATGCCCTTTTGGGATCCTCTGGCCAACAAGGGGAAGCCAGATTCACTTAACAACCGGGTTATTAATTTCACAACTGCCGTGGTTCACTTAACCACGGTGGCCGGAAAAGTCATAAAATGGGGGCAAAACCTCACTTAACAATTGTCTCGTTTAGCAACAGAAATTTTGGGCTCAGTTGTGAATCGTGAGTCAAAGACTACTGGAAGTTTTTAAGAAGAGATCGGACAAGCATTTGTCTGAAATTTTAATTGCTTGGGGGTTTTAAATTGGATTATTTTAATATCATTTTATTGTCGTGTTGTTTTATTTTGTGAGCCGCCCCGAGTCCTACGGGAGAAGGGTGGCATATAAATACGATTGATTGATAAATAAATAAATAATAAATAAATAAATAAATAAATGACATAGGGGTTGGGATAGACGACCTCTGTTAGGAAATGGCTATTGTCTAACTAGTTGGTCTGGCAATATATAAACTATCAATACATGTTTTTCAAAAGGTATTATATTGCTTTAAGACTGTATTGTATCATCCTGTATCCTGATTGGCTAAGCTCTGTAGCCAATGTACTTAAGGGGAAGCCTGAATCATGGCTTGAGAACATTACACCATTTTATCTGCTTATTTGCTGTTACTCTCAACTTGTTCTCTCTGCATGATCATTGTTTGATCATTGCTACTTGTTGCTTTCTACTATTTATTGAATGTTTTAATAGTGAACTTGTTCCTGTTTGAAACTCAAGAAGAACTTTTATTGTGTAATGACAACAACTGGTAAGAAGACTTTGTACTTGGAATATCCCTGAATTGATATTTTAACTATCGCTTTATCTGTGTATGACTTGGATTGTTATTGGTCTTCTAGTCCAACCCTCAGCTCACGCAAGAAACCTTATACCACTTCAGACGAATGCTTGTCCAATCTCTTCTTTAAAACCTTAAATTCCTCGGTAAGGGTTCCTGATTTTGAGCTGCCACAAGGTAACACATCTGCACTGTAATGCAACATACAGTCTGCATATATAGGATATCTGTGCAAGCCAGCTCACCTCCTGAGGCTCTGTTTGGGTTTTAGCTGGAACAGTTTCTAAAGAAGGCAGAAAACAAAAGGATTAGAAAACAGGTTAAGAGAGTAAAGGCGCAGTCATAAAAAAATGTAATTCTACAGTTTTTGCTGGCAATACTGCCTTTTCCAGAAAGCTACGTGTTTGGGATCTTGGAAAGGGCAATAATAGATTAAAAACAGCCATAATTCTTAAAGTAGTTCCATGCCAGTACTCTAGCCCAGGGGTCTCCAACTGGGGCAACTTTAAGACTTGTGGACTTCAACTCCCAGAATTCCTCCACTAGCTGTACATGGCATTCTGGGAGTTGAAGTCCACAAGTCTTAAAGTTACCACGGTTGGAGACCCGTGGGCTAAAATACTGGCATGGAACTACTTTAAGAATTTGTGGACTTCAACTCCCAGAATTCCATGGATGGCTGGTGAAGGAATTCTGGGAGCTGAAGTCCACCTGTCTTAAAGTTGCCAAGTTTGGTGAGCCCTGATCTAGTTTCTTAAAAGACAGTATTAAACTGGCACCTGGTGTTGACTTCGTAGCTCCAGATCCTCTGGGAAAGTTGGTGTCTGAACCTGAGACAGAAGTGGAACAGCTGGCAGAGAGCGGGAGAGTGGCTCCGTTGGCTGTGGAGGAAACTAGGGAAGGGCAAAGTCAGGTTGGGTAGAACAGGGCAGAGGTAGAACAAGAGAGAGGGGGTTCAGATGAAGACCAAGGCCCACCCCCTCCTCATCCTAGGGCGTTGCAGGGAAGAACGCAGAAGAGAGCAATGTGGGTTGCATGGCTTACGAGGAAGGAAAGGGCCCCGATTCCCTTCACAAGGCACACCTGGGGATGGAGTTTAAAGGAGAGGCAGTTGGGAGGCCTCAATTCCCTTCACAAGGCACACCTGGGGATGGAGTTTAAAGGAGAGGCAGTTGGGAGGGGCGTTTGTCGGGAACAAATACTGAATCTGGTGTTGAGAGTTGTGGCCTCCTGGGGGCAGCCATCCCCACGGCTGTGTGAGTCTGTGTGTCATCCCCACCCCCCCAAGTGACACCACACTATTTCCCTCACTGTATTTAATTCAAGAAACTAGAACGTAAATCTGGGATTTCCCCCCATGCAAAACGGGGAATCTAGTTACTACTTCAGGCAGTGCTCAAGTTGTGGCCATTTAGTTAATGATGGTTTGGAGCTAAAATGGCCCTGAAAAAAAATGACTTATGACCCGTCCTTGAAGTTACGACCGTCACACTATTCCCACAGTCAAGTGATCATGATTTGGGTGCTTGGAAACCAACCTGCATTTATGGCAGTTTGCGGCAACATCCTGTGGTCTACAGCCACGAATGCAATTTCTGTCTTTCCTAGTTGATTTATTTATTATGAAATTTATTTGCCACCCATCTCGTACCCAACGACTCTGGGTGGCTTACAATCTAGCTGGCTTCCGACAAGCCAAGTCAATGGGGAAAGTTGGATTCAGTGAACGACCGCACAAGACGCTTAATGACTGTAGTAGAAATGATCCTAAAATTTGGTCCATTTCCCTGACGACTGGCTTAATAACTGCGTTGCTTAGCAACAGAAATTCCAATTGTTCTAAATGGAAGACTACCTGTGTATCTTTGCAAAAACCTTACCTTTGTCTTTTGTCACTCTTTCGAGCAAATCTTGAAGTTTGCTCTTGGTTCCTAGGAAGTTCCTCACTTTGATTCCCTTTGCCGTAGAGGGCTGCTTCCTTCTGAGCTCCATCATGGACTTTTTCAGGAAAGGATGCATCTCCAACACCTCCTGGCCAGAAGCATAGATATGCAACTTCTCCACCAACCTCTGGCTGGATGTGATTCTCTGGACCACTCCGTCCATCTCCTGCAGTTTCTTCTTCACGTCTTGGACCTGGTGGTTATGTTGGGCCTCTACGTCTGCTAAGAATCCTTTGCCCTTTTCTCGCAGCATCTGGATCATCTCCTCTATCTTCTGCTGGATCAGCTCTTGCGTCTCATTCCTCAACTGCTCCATGTTTCTCACCAGTTCCTCAAGGCTGCCGTAGTTCTCGTCGTAGGCGTTCTTCTTCTCCTTCAGCTCTGCGCTCATGTTCTGCAATTCATTCTGCCTGCACTGGATTTCCTGGCTGATGTCGCAATGTTGACCCATGTGCTTGTTGTCGAGGACGGCACAAATGGCACACATGGATTGACTACACTGCTTGCAGTAGAGGCTGGGGAAGAAAAAAGGCAAAGCTTGTGATTTCTGGCTGGAGCTGCTGTCCATCCCTGATCACTTCATGGACCTCAAAACTGGGTCTTTAGCACCCAGTCAGGTCACGTTAGACACCTGAGCATCTTCAAGCATGTCACAATCCCATTAAGGAGGACAAAAACATTACCTGTTGAGTAAGACTACTAGATTAAAACTATGGAGGAAATACACTATTTACCGTTGAAGATTGGGAGAAATGTCTTTTTAGGAGGAGACCAGAAAGGATCTGTCTGAGGCCTCCAAGCAAAGACCTAGTTAAATCCAACAAGTCTTGAACAATTGTCCTTAAATATCCAGATTTATGATTGACCAAGCTACCTGTTGCTTTTGAGTACAGACCTACTTGATTAAAACTATGGAGGAAATAAACCATCAATTTTTGGAGGAAAAAGGTGCGTCTTATACTCCGAAAAATACGGTAGTTAGTTAATTAGTTAGTTCAAAACTTCTCTACGCCTTGCTCCAGATGTCTATTGGAGCAACAAACTTCACTGCTTCTTGCTCCAGATTTGAAAACCATCCATTTCTGGGCAGGCTGGAAAGCCAGGCAGTAGGTAACATGATGATGGCATCAAACAGGTTCTCCGCTTGAGAATGAAGCAGAGATGGGCAACCTACCTTAACATTTGGGTGTTGTGCCCCATCTTGGTACAAAACATGGGTTTTCTGATGGTTGAGAGGAAGTCTTTGCAAGATTCTGCCTGGAAGTCCTTCAGCGGTCTAGCTTCGTGGCTTTCTTTCTTCAGGTATCTCTGGTGGCTTCGAAAGCACAAGAGGCAAAGGAACTCCTCGCAGGTGGAACACCAAAACTCTGCCTGTGTCCTACAGTTATCACAAATCGAGCCTTTGCTCCCAGTGACCTTCTGGTAGAGGTTGAACCTGACTTGGAGATTGGCAAAGAACACGTTATCCAGAGTTTCGCGGATCTCTGCAAGGTGGAAGTGTGGAGTTTCACAGATGACACAGAGACTGATTGGCTTGTTTTCTTCAAGGCACCGGGTGCACAGATTGTGAAGGCAGGGCAGGAGTTTGGGGCATGGGACCTCTGCATGGCATCTGTCACATAGGAGGAACTGAAACTCCTCATTCATCTCCTGTGCACGTGGAAGACATGAGAGGAACATCTCGATTAACCCAACACAGTTCTATGAACGCAACTGGAAAGGAATAAAATATGACCAGGAAGTCGGATGCTGCTAGCTGGAACATGTGGAAAGTTGGGTGTGGTGGAGGATTTGGCCATTTTTCAGACCCCCCCTCCCTCCTGTCCAATGATTTTGGTTTTGCTAAGTTCTTTTGAATGACAGAGGAGGAAGTCAACCGCAAACCAAAAAGCAAACGAGGAGGACCTAATCACACCACTGGGAGTTCGTTTCCTTATTTGGTTTGCTTCCAATGCTGTTGATTTTGCTCTTCCTTTTGAGTACAAAATCTTAAGCCAATCTTTGCCAATCTTGGCCGCTCTCAGATTGGTGGATTCCCATTCCCAGAATTCCCCAGCAAGCATGGCCCCTGGCTGGGAATTCTGGGAGTTGAAATCTGGAGGATTGCCAGATGTCCTGGAGTGGAAATCTTCAACCCATGAGCTCCGTTTTTCCTCAACCTCAGGTACTTGAAGACCGGTGGACTTCAATTCCCAGAATTCTCCCAACAGATTGGTTGGGGGGGTGGGTGGGGAGAATTCTGGGAATTGGAGTCCACTAATCTTCAAGAGGCTGAAGTTGAGAAACAATAGTCTTGTATTAAATGAACGCTTCTCGAACTCAGTTCTCAATACGGTAGCTGATGTAAAGCACCGTATGGATGACCTTGCGGGGAGGAAGGGAAAAGATAATACAACCTGCAGAGCACAGAGGAATAAACTCAGGAAGGACCCTTTCTAACGGATCAACCCATTCGAAGTAGCAGCAGGAAGTCTGTATCTTCAGGTCTTCAAGATTTTAGCCTTACAACAAAGTAGAATTCGTTCCTTCTGTTCTATTTCCTGCCTGATTTGTCTGGCAAGGCTGACACCCCTTAACTAAAGGAGTCAAGTCTGGCTTTCCAACTGTTGCTGACTCCAACTCCCATGCTGGTTGGGGTTCATGGGAGATGCAGTCCAACCTGATCTGGAAGACGGGGATTCCTTCCAAACAGTGGCAGATTAAGGCTCACTGGTGCCCTAAAAGGTAAAGATTCCCCTCGCACATATGTGCTAGTCGTTCCCAACTCTCGGGTGTGGTCCGTTTCAAAGCCGAAGAGCCAGCGCTGTCCGAAGACGTCTCCGTGGTCATGTGGCCGGCATGACTCAACGTTGAAGGTGCACGGAACACTGTTACCTTCCCACCAAAGAGGGTCCCTATTTTTCTACTTGCATTTTGTACCTGCTTTCGAACTGCTAGGTTGGCAGAAGCTGGGACAAGTCACGGGAGCTCGCCCCGTTACGTGGCACTAGGGATTCGAACCGCTGAACTGCCGACCTTTCGATTGACAAACTCAGCGTCTTAGCCACCGTGTCCACTGGGGCCCTAAGCACTCACAAATCTTGGTGCCTCCCCTATCCTCCTTTGCACATCCTGTACAAACCCATTTGTGGACTATGCGCTGGGAAAATTGGATGCTTCGGTACCTGTACCCCGAGAACGTGGATTTTGGCGATCATGAGGATATATCCGAAGAACCAAATCTTCCTTTCTTATGTATAGCACAGGGTGAAATATTGTATATGTTGTTTGTAATGTTAGTAATTTAAAATATAAAATAAAGAAAAAAACAAACAAACAAACTTCATTGGTGGGGTTTTTTTTGGTCCTTTCTCAACTTTGCGGTGCCCCCTTTGGACTTTGCTTAGTCTGCTTAATGCTGAATGCACCACTCCTTCTGAAATGGCTCAGGTGCTTGGAATAGCTCCCCCAGAGGCATACCTGAAGTGCCCAGAACCAGGAAGGAAGGAAAAAATAAAATAAAAGGTCTGACCAAAGGAAACGAAACTGGGTGGGGAGATGCTGAAGGCGGGAATGGAGGGAGTGGGCGGGTTATGGGTCTTTGCAAGCTCTTCTCAAGGGGGAAGCAGCCCCCCCCACCTTTGTTCTAAGGGCAAGCATCTCCCCTCTCACTCCGTCCTACCTGTAAAACTCTTAGATGGGACCAAGCAGGTGGAGTCTTCGGAGAGGGGCGGCATATAAATTGAATTAAATTGAAATTGAAAATGGGGAGAGGGGGGGCTTCTTCCTCCCCCACCCCCCCAACTGCAGGAAATTCAGCATTCAAGGGCTAGGCAGCCTCTGCTCTCTTTCTGCCCCGGAGTTGACCGCCCACCGCCCACCCTCTACCCCGGTTAACTTTGGAACAAAACGGGGAAACCTTCTCCCCCACCCCACCCCCAGCGACCCCCCGAAGTTTACCGTCGGCTGGAAAGCGGACGACTCGGGCTCAGAGGTGGCTTCCCCGGCCATCGCAGTTCGTTTGCAATCCGAGCAGCTTTGCAATCCCGGAGGAAGATGCGATCTGCGAAGCTTTAACTTTCGTTTTACTCGCAACCCGCCTCTAACCTTGCGAAACGAGGAGGCCCGTGGCTCTCTCTTCTCCACCCCCCTCCCCAACCCACCCCTTTCTCCCCAGGAGGGTTCAGACGTTTTTCACGTTTCCTCTGGGGGAGGGGGCACTGCCTTGCAAGCAAGGAAAATCTTCCTGCTGGGAAGGAGGGAGGGAGGGATGCTCCAGGGATAGGGGTAGCCATCCTGGAGATGGCAAAAGAGAGAAAAGGAGGGGAGATGGAAGGAGAGGGGGGGTAAGTTTAATGCGATTTATATGCCGCCCTATCTCCAATGGACTCAGGGCGGCTCACAACCTTAAAATGCACAATTGCACATTAAAACAATATGAAATTAAAAGTCCAAATGAAAACAGTTTAAAATCAATTTAAAACTATTAAGAACCCACCCCCCCCAGCCCCATCAGTCCAGGCTACGAAACAGGAAAGGGAATCTTGCCCTCTGACATCCAGTGCTCTCCAGATGTTTGTTTTCTGGTTTGGGAAATCTGTTGCAGCTTTCCGGCTTTAGAAGTCTGGGAGAAGTCTGGATCTGGGAGAAAGGATGGTGGATGGAAAGGAAGGAAGAAAAAAAGAGAGGAAGAAGAGGAAGGAAGGAGGAAAAAGGAAGGAATGATGGAGGAGAAGGAAGGAAAGAAGGGAAGGAAAGGAAAAAAGGAAAGGGGAGAAGAACGGAAGGAAGGAAGGAAGGAAGGAAAGAAATGTAGGATGGGAACACCACCCAGACAGTGCCAGCTCTGTAAGAACATAATAAAACTTCATCGTGCAGGATCAAGTCAGAGAAATAAAAGCCTTTTTTTGGAAAAGGACCTTCCCAAAATAAAACACATAAACATCAAGGCTATTAAAGAACAAAAGGACTCACAGAAATAACAAAGCAGGACATGCCAAGAGAAAAACTATTGAAACAGCAGAAACTAGGAGAGCAGATAAAGGGATGATTAGTTCAGGGCAAAGAAAGAGGATTTAAGCAATAGCCTGAGCGATGTGATAAGAGTTAAGGGCTTATTTGATAACAATCAGTTTAAGGTGAGAAACAATATAACAAGGACAAAGGGAAACAAAGAGACCCAGATAAAGCCCCAGCATCAAGTAGAAGAAGAAAACTAGAATAAGAAAGCACAGGGCGATCCAGGAACATGCAAGCAAAGGGAAACACACAAAAGCACCAAAAGAAACAAAGAAGAAAGGAAAGAAGGAGGGAGAAGGAAGGAAGGAAAGAAAAAGGAAGGAAGGGAGGGAAGGAAGGAAAGGAGGGAGAAGGAAGGAAGGAAAGAAGGAAGGAAGGAAGGAAAGGAAGGAGGAAGGAAGGAAAGGAGGGAGAAGGAAGGAAGGAAAGAAAAAGGAAGAAAGGAGGAAAGGAGGGAGAAGGAAGGAAGGAAAGAAAAAGGAAGGAAGGAAGGCCCATTTCCATGTATTTCTGGGATCTAAAATTTCTGTCCAAATTCAGAGCTTAAAGGCCAGGAGGTGAAATTAATTCCCATTGTCTCCAAATCGAATTCATAACTGACAAAAGAAGACGCATTTTAAATAGTTTGCCCCTGTAAACTTAGAAGCTTTGGTGCACATTTTGGAAATAAGAAGTGATCCAATTTTTGTAGACTCTCTTTCACCTTTGGTATAAAGCTGGGAACCCCCCTTCCCTCTTTTGAAGATGCTCAGTGGTGGTAGACCTCTCCAAGGCCCCCCCCCCCCGTTGTCTTTTTTCAAAAGGCGCCTGAATGGGGAGAAGATGGCCTGGGAAAGACTTGGCCATAAACTCTTCAGAAGTTTGCTGGACTCTTTCCATAACCCTCTGTTTCCACTCCCCCCCCTCACTTTTTCTAGGTGGTTGTCAGAGAAATGGATGAAGGAAGACCAAATAAAAAAAAACTAAGAAGCATCATTCAGTCAGATGATGTTTCTTAGGGACAAGAAGGAACTAGAAGCAAGGAGGAATTTCGGTTAACCAGTGGAACTCCTTGCCTCCAGAAGTAGTTGTGGGAGCTCCATCATCTAGAGGTTTTTTTAAGAAGAGACTGGACACTACCATTTGTCTGAAATGATATACAAGTAGTGCTCGACTTATAACAGTTCATTTAGTGACCGAAGATCACCGGGGAAGCCAGACTCACTTAACAACCAGGTTACTAACTCATCAACTGCAGCCATTCGCTTAACAGCTGTGGTAAGAAAGATCGTAAAATGGGTCAAAACTCACTTCAGTGTCTTGCTTAACAACAGAAATGTGGGGCTCCATTGGGGTCGTAAGGCGAGGATTACTTTTATAAGATCTCCTGCTAGAGCAGGGGGTTGGACTAGAAGACCTCCGGAGGTCCCTTCCAACTCTTGTTATTCTGTCCTGTTCTGTTCTGTGATTGGGGATGGGTAGGACTCAGAGAAAGGAGCCCAGTAGATCTCTGTGCTAGATCTCGATCTCTCTTCCTCTCTTTCTCTCTCTCTCTCCCTCTTATCTCTCTCTCTGCCCCTTTCTCTTTCTCTCTTATTCCACTCTGCTCCTTTCTCTCTCTCTCCCTCTTCTCTCTCTTTTTCTCTCCCTCTTCTCTCTCTTTCTCTCTCTGCTCCTCTCTTTCTCTCTCTCTTATTTCTCTCTGTCCCTTTCTCTCTCTCCCTTTTCTTTCTCTTCTTCTTTCTCTCTCTCCCTCTAATCTCTCTCTCTGCCCCTTTCTCTCTTTCTCTCTGCCTCCCTTTCTCTCTCTCTCTCTCTCTCTCCCTCCCTCTTATCTCTCTCTCTCTGCCCCTTTCTCTTTTTTTCTCTCTCTGCCTCCCTCTCTCTTTCTCTCTCTCCCTCTTATCTCTCTCTGCTTTCTCTTTCTTTCTCTCTCTGCCCCCTCTCTTTCTCTCCTTCTTTCTCTCTCTCCCTCTTATCTCTCTCTCTGCCCCTTTCTCTTTCTTTCTCTCTCTGCCCTCCTCTCTTTCTCTCCTCCTTTCTCTCTCTCCCTCTTATCTCTCTCTCTGCCCACTTTCTCTCTTATTTCTCTCTCTCTCTCTGCCCCTTTCTCCCCCTCTCTTTCCCCCCCTCCCCCGGATTTGCCAGCTGTCTCTCCTCCCCCTTGCAAACCGCCCCTTCCTGTCGGCTTCCGCGCAGCTGAGCTGCTCGCGAGGAGAAAACGAAACTTTGGCTTCTCCAGCTGCCGCTCGGGGAAGAGGAGGAAGAGGAGGAAGAGGAGGAGGAGGAGAAAAGAGGAGCGGGGAAGGGGGGGGGAGAGAGAGAGCGTTCCCCACCTTTCTCTGTCCAGCGGCTGCAGCTGCAGCCTCTCCGGGCTTCCAAGGAGGGGAGGGGAGACGCCGCCAGCCCCCCACCCAGCCAGCCAAGCCCGCCTTGGTCCCTCCTGCAGCCGATTTCAAGGGGCGCCTTCGGTGCGTTGAGTCTGGGGTGCGCTTTCTTCTCCGGGGGTCTCGGAGGGAGGGAGGGAGGGGGGAAGGAGGGAAGGGGAGGGGTCTTGTTTTCCAAATTGGGGAGGGGGTTGCAACCCGCGGGACCAGTTTGCCCAGCCTTCTAGCCCAGATCAAGGAATCTGGGCCATCGCGCCAGGGTTTCTTCCCCGCGTTGTCCTCGTTCGGACGGTGCTGAAAAATCCGGGTTGGGTTTGGGGCGACCCGAGAAAAGAGGGGAGGGGGGCTCGTCTTCAGTCTCGGGTTTATTCGACCCCTCCCATCCACCCCCCCCAATGGTGGGACTAGGGGGATTGAAAAGGTTGGGTTGGTACTTTGGGGGAATTGTTTTCCCCCTGTACAGGTAGTCCTCGACTTATAACATAACAGTAACAAGAGCTGGAAGGGACCTTGGAGGTCATCTAGTCCAGCCCCCTGCTCTCGCAGGAGACCTATCCGAGGGATTCCAACCCGCCCAAACTGCCCACCTTTCTGATCGACAAGCCTCAAAGACCCCCATGGAGCTCAACCTGTTGTCTGTTGTTAAGCGAGACAGGGTTGTTTTAACTGTTTGAGTTTTGCCTCGTTTTACGACCTTTCTTCCTGGCCACGGTTGTTAAGGGTATCCCTGCAGCGGATAAGTTAGTCACCCCGTTATTAAGTGAATCCGGCTTCCCCGTGGATTGTGCTCATCAGAAGATCTCAAAAAGGGATCACATCAACGGTCGTAAGTATGAACCCGTTGGGAAACATCTGAATTTTGATCCCGTGATCGGGGGAAGGGGGGGGCTGCCACAAGGGTCGTAAGTGTGAAAAATGAGGGTGAGTCACTTTCCTCAGTGCCATTGTAACTTTGGACGATCACTAAAGGAATCGCCGTAAGTCCAGGACTGCCTGTACTCAAAAAGCAGTTGTTACAGTCATGAAACAAATTTTTTTTTTGCTTGTGGTTTTAATAGCTTCCCATTCCACACCCTTTTTTAAAAAATGCATGTGCGTTCGTGCGTGCCCGCACATACAGGGCCCATTGGCTCCAGACAGGAAATAAGGAAATAACATTTTTGTGGGGAAAAAAACCCCAATTCTTTTTCTGTGTGGAGCAGCCTGGCTCACCTTGTTTCTATAAAAGGATGGGATTAATCATCCCCTCTCCCTTTTTTATTTCCTTGTTCTAATTCCCAATGAGATGCCCTCCAGGTATATTAAATTAAAACTCCCAGCATTCCCCTGGGGGGCAGAAGCTGCCTAGTGCATTTGGAAGGCCTCAAAGCAACAAAAAGTTGATTTATTGGCCTGGCTTGAAGATGGCTTTTGATCTGGAATGTGTGAACCTAACTTTTTAAAAAATAATAAAAAGTATAGCACCGTGTTTCTCAACCTTGGCAAACGGGAAGAGGTGAGGACTTCAACTCCCAGAATTCCCCTAGCCGTGGAATTCTGGGAGTTGAAGTCCATATCTCTTCCAGTTGCTGGAGTTGAGAAACACTGCCTTAATATTTGGCTAGAATAGAGACAGTCCTTTTTAGGTTAGATCAGATTAACAGAGTTGGAAGGGACCTTGTAGGTCATCTAGACCAGTGTTTCCCAAACTAGGCTATTTTAAGATGCATGGACTTCAACTCCCAGAATTCCCCAGCCAGTATGCCTGGTTGAGGAATAGTATGCCTGGTTGAGGAATTCTGGGAGTTGAAGTCCATATATCTTCAAAGGGTCAAGTTTGGGAAACACTGATCTAGACTAACCCCCCCAGCCAAGCAGGAGACCCTACACCATTTCTGACAGACGGCAGTCCAGTCTCTTCTTGAAAGCCTCCAGTGATGAAGCTCCCACAACTTCCGAAGGCAACTTCTGTTCCATCAATTGATTGTTCTCACGGTCAGAAAATTTCCAGGTTGAATTTCTCCTTGATTAGTTTCCATCCATTGCTTCTTGTCTGGCCTTTGGGAGCCTTGGAAAACAGCTTGACCCCTTCCTCTCTGGGGCAGCCCCTCAAATATTGGAAGACTGCTATCCTGCCTCCCTTATTTATTTATTTATTATTTATTAATCAAATTTCTATACCGCCCTACTCCCGAAGGACTCAGGGCGGTGAACAGCCAAGATAAAATACAGACAATACAAATATTAAAAATCCCTTAAAATTATTAAATATTTCGGCCGAAACACAGATTAAAATACCCAATTTATAAAATCATGAATTAAAAAATTTAAAATTTAGGAATTTAAAAGAGGGGAGTTAGGCCAGGCCAGCTTGCTGAAATAAAAAAGTTTTGAGAGCACGGCGAAACGTGCGCAGGTCCGGGATCTTCCGTATCTCTGGGGGGAGCTCGTTCCAGATGGTAGGTGCCCCCACAGAGAAGGCTCTCCCCCTTGGTCCTTCTCTTTACTAGACCAGCCATGCCCAGTTCCTGCAACCGTTCATCGTATGTTTTAGCCTCCAGTCCCCTAATCCTCTTGGTTGCTCTTCTCTGCACTTTTTCTAGACTTACTTTTTTTTCACTTACAACAATTCATTTAGTCATTGTTACAATGGGATTAAAAAAAGTGACTAATTTTCCCCCACACTTCTGACCATTGCTGCCTCCCTGTGGTCACATAATCAAATTTCAGATGCTTGGCCACTGACTCGTATTTTATGACGGTTGCAGTGTCCCCGGATGGTGTGATCCTCTTTTGTGACCGTCTGACAAGCCAAGTGAACGGGGAAGCCAGATTCACTTAATAACCATGTTACGAATTTAGGAACTGCGGTGATTCACTTAACAACTTTGGCAAGAGCAAGACGTAAAAGGGGGCCAGATTAAGTTAACAAAATGTCTCACTTAGCGCCAGAAATGTTAGGATCAGTTGCACTCGTAAATCGAGGATTACCGTATTTTTTGGAGTATAAGACGCTCCAGACTGTAAAATGCACTTACCTTTTTTGGGGAGGAAAACAAGAAGAAAAAAAAATCTGCCTCCCGGCAATTTGTCTCCTTGCAGCAAACAGCAAACAGCCTGTTTTAGTTTCAGTTTCATTTTCAGCACAACCTGATTAGCACAAGAAAAAAAAAAATCTGCCTCCCAATAATTTACCTCCTTGCAGCAGAGACCTGCGCAGCAATAGGCAATGGCAATCCCTGCACCTTGAAACAGCTGATGATCGGGAGGCCGATCCAGCCGACTATCAAGTGCTTGTGCTAATCAGGCTGTGCTGAAGCTGAAATGGGCTGTTTGCTGTTGGCTGCAAGGAGGTAAATTGCTGGGAGGCAGAGGCCAAAGGGTGGGGGACGGCGGGTGGGCTGGGCTACATTCGGTGTATAAGACGCACCCAAATTTTCACCCTCTTTTAGGGGGTGAAAAAGTGCATCTTATACTCCGAAAAATACGGTAACTGTAAAGGATTGCAATTCAGTCGGCTGAATCTTGTCTTCTCTCTTTTTTTTCTCCAGAGATGGAGGGCGACTTCCAGTTCCTCTTGTGCGACAGATGCCAGAGAGAAGCCAGGAACCCCAAACTCCTCGCCTGCTTACACACCCTCTGCACCCAATGCCTTGAGGATAACAAGCCCATTGGGCAGTGTCCGGTGTGTGGCGGCCCCGTCCAGACCTCGGACAGATTTCCAATTCAGGATAACTTGCTTTTCTCCAACCTCCAGACCAAGCTGAACACCTACCAGAAGATCGTCAGCAATCAAGAGCTGGTTTGCAATCACTGCAAAGAAGGGGCAGAGTTTTGGTGCTCGGAGTGCTTGGAGTTCCTGTGCCTGAAGTGTTACGAAGCCCATCAGTGGTACTTGAAGCAGAAAAGCCACGAGACCCAACGGCTGGCCGACCTGAGGAAGGAGACGGCCCAGAGTTTTCTCGAAGGGGCAAGGAAGACTTGTACCCTCTTTTGCGCTGAGCCCACCCACAACAACCAGGTCATAAGGTAAGGAGGACCTGCAGGGACTGGCACTGGTGATGTTCTTTTTTAATTATCTTAACTTTTGTATCTGTATGTTTTTTAATTTTGGCTGTTCACCGCCCTGAGTCCCCTCTGGGAGAAGGGCGGTATACAAATTAAATTAATTAATAAATTAATTAATAAATAAATGTTACTTAGCTGGGTAATGAAATGTCTGCAGGAAAACAAATGGTTTTGGGGAGGGGTGAAATCCAATTTTTTTTTCCTACTGGTTCTGTGGGCGTGGCTTGGTGGGCATGGTGTGGCGTGGTGGGCGTGGTGTGGCTTGGTGGGCGTGGTGTGGCTTGGTGGGCGTGTCAGGGGAAGGATACTGCAAAATCTCCATTCCCCCCCCACTCCAGGGGAAGGATATTACAAAATCTCCATTCCCTCCCTACTCTGGGGCCAGCCAGAGGTGACATTGGCCAGTTCTCCGAACTACTCAAAATTTCCGCTACCGGTTCTCCAGAACCTGTCAGAACCTGCTGGATTTCACCCCTGGTTTTGGGGAAGTCCATCAGTCAAGCGCAGGATATCAGGTGCCCAGGTAGTTCAAATGAATATAAAGGTTTATTGCAAACTTAAGCTCTCTATGCTTGGGGGGGGGGAACGGATCCAGTGGCTCAGTGGCTAAGACGCTGAGCTTGTCAATCAGAAGGTCGGCAGTTCAGTGGTTCGTATCCCTAGTGTTGTGTAATGAAGTGAGCTCTTGTTACTTGTCCCAGCTTCTGCCAACCTACAGTTCGAAAGCAGATAAAAAAATGCAAGTAGAAAAATAGGGACCACCTTTGGTGGGAAGGCATTTAATCATGCCGGCCACATGACCATGGAGATGTCTTTGGACAGCGCTGGCTCTTCAGTTTTGAAACGGAGATGAGCACCGTCCCTTAGAGTCGAGAACGACTAGCATGCATGTGCGAGGGGAACCTTTACCTTTACCTTTACCTTTAAGCTCTCTATGGGAATCTGAACTACTAACAGTCAAGGGAAATTAGCGGGAGATAAGAGTAGAAAGAATTCAAGGTGGGCTCTATTCAGTTCTCTTGTGGGTGCGAAGAGACTCTAGACTACTGACGTGTTTGACCTCTCCCTCCCTCGGGCTCAGCCTGCTCGTGTTCTACCCTGTCATAAGTTGAAAAGAAATAGGCAATGCAACCCTTTTAACCCAGGAAAGGACAGAAGGGAGTCAGATATCTTTTTAAAAACTGGTCTGCTTGTGCTTAACAGCATCTATTGTCGTGGCTGCCACAAACCGCTCTGTTGCTGTTGTGCCCTGCTCGATGGAGAACATTACAACGCCAAGCTTTACAGTGACATCCGCGTGGAAATTGAGAACCGGAAGGAGGAACTGAGCAGGCTGAAGGAGGAGCTGCGGGAGAATAAGAGGAGTTCTGAGAGTACCCACAACAATGTCCATGAGCATCTGAAGAAGCTGGAGAAGGTCCGGAACGAGACCCGTGAGTTGATCCAGAAGAAGGTGGAGGACATGGTCCAGTGGATCCAGAAGAAAGGGGAGGATCTTTTGGAGAAAGTGGACCAGCAACTCTGCCAAGAGCAAGAAGAAGCCAAGAAGAAGCTGGAGTGCATGGAGCAGATCCTCAAGCGAATGAAGGCCGGCGAGCAGCTGGTGGAGAAGATGGACCTCTTTGCCTCCGACCAAGAGGTGATAGACATGCATCCCTTCATCAAGGACTCCCTGGAGAGGCTCAAGAAAGAGAAGCTGCCCGTTTCCAGCTTTCGGATCCAAGTGGAGAACTTCGATGAGGTCCAAGGGGAGCTCCAAGCTCTGCTTAAGAGAGTCAAAGGAGAAGGTGAGAAGCTTTCCAAAATTGAGTTTTTTTGTGGTTCTTCCTTCTGGGATGGGATGGTGTCTTAAACAAGAGGTGGAAGATCATGAAGGTCCGTATCTGTGTTGTTTTTAGTCACAAAGTTGTGTCTGACCCATTGCGACCCCATGGACAACATTCCTTCAGGCTTTTCTATCTTCTACCATCCTCTAGAGTCCATTTCAGTTCCATATCTGTACCTATGCCATTTTTGATGGGGGAACCCAACTGGGCCCAGATCTTTAAAGGAGGGGTATCCAACTTGGCAACTTTTAAGATCTGTGGACTTCAACTCCCAGAATTGAAGTCCAGAAGAAAAGCAAGATGAGCGACAGATGATGACTGGAGAGGTTTTGGATGCTACAGATTGTGTAAAGTTGTTTAGGAATTGGTGCTGAACACCTGGTCTCTCAGTTGAAGAATTGAGATAGAACCTTAGGCAGTTGACTTCAACCCAAGCTTTGCTCACCTCAATCTACTCTTAATTCTCTGTTCTCCTTCTAGATGCTTTTGGGTGTGCGGTTTCCACGCCTGGATCTTGCAGTTCCATGGTCAATTCGGTAAGCTTGATTTGGATGGATGTGGATGGATTCCCCTAATCTGTAAGGTCCCTTCTGGAAATGGGAAGAAGGTTGATCAGGTAGATCACTGATGGATTTGCAGTTGATCAAAAAAGGTCTTTAACAACGGGCGAAACAGTTCTCCAAGTTGGGACAGTAAGAATGTGCAATCTCTTGGCATCCATTTGGAGCTGCAGGTTCAGGAATGAGTGTGAACATGTCGCATTTTGGAGGCCAATCCAAAGATTTATCTTTTGGATCAGTGTTTCTCAATCCTGGGAGCTTTTAAGATTTACAATGATTTTTTGCTGGAAACGGGATAGAACAGAACAGAATAAATTACAAATAGAACAGAATGAAATTACAAAGAATAGAATAGGAATAGAACAGAATAAATTACGAATGGAATGGAATGGAATGGAATGGAATAGAATAGAATAGAATAGAATAGAATAGAATAGAATAGAATAGAATAGAATAGAATAGAATAGAATAGAATAGAATTCTTTATTGGCCAAGTGTGATTGGACACACAAGCTCTCAGTGTACATAAAAAGACAAGATACATTCGTCAAGAATCATAAGGTACAATACTTAATGATAGCCATAGGGTACAAATAAGCAATCGAATCATACTAGGAAACAATCAATATTAACATAAATTGTAAAGATACAAGCAACAAGTTACAGTCATGCAGTCATAAGTGGGAGGAGATGGGTGATAGGAACGATGAGAAGACTAATAGTAATAGTAATGTAGCCTTAGTGAATAGTTTGACTGTTGAGGGAATTATTTGTTTAGCAGAGTGATGGCGTTCTGGAAAAAACTGTCCTTGTGTCTAGTTGTTCTGGTGTGCAGTGCTCTATAGCAGTGGTCCCCAACCCCTGGTCCGCGGACCGGTGCCGGGCCATGGAGTACCTGGCACCGGGCCGCGCAGCGGCCGGGGGACAGGAACGCTGCAGCGCAAAGGCTCCTGGGCCGTGCGCAATGGGCCTGCGCAAAAGCTCCTGGGCCGTGGCCCCACCCCTGCGCGCGCTCAGCGGGCCGCGGCGATAAAAAGGTTGGGGACCACTGCTCTATAGCATGATTTTGAGGGTAGGAGTTGAACCAATTTATGTCCAGGATGTGAGGCACTGGTGGGTTGCCCCCGGTTCGGTGGGTTGCCCCTGGTTCGGCAAGAACCGGTAGTAAAACCATTGGGAAGCCCGGCCCACCGCCCTGGATGTCGTCATTGGCGATCTGCGCATGTGAGTTCGCTCACTTGCACGCACGATCCCGTTGTAGTAAAGGTAAGTAGAACCCACCCCTGATGCGAGGGGTCTGTAAATATTTTCACAGCCCTCTTTTTGACTTGTGCAGTATACAGGTCTCCTTGGAAGGCAGGTTGGTAGCCATTGTTTTTTCTGCAGTTCTAATGATCCTCTGAAGTCTGTGTCTGCCTTGTTGGGTTGCAGAATAGAAAAGTAGAGTAGAGTAGAGTAGAGTAGAGTAGAGTAGAGTAGAGTAGAGTAGTTGTAAGTCATCTAGTCCAACCCACTGCTAATGATTGAAAAACAAAGTCATAAGGTCAGGTTGTTTCTATGATGACCCCCTTAATGACTGGCACAAATGACAACAGTAATTCTAGGCTCAATTAAGGTCGTAATCCGAGGACTTCCTGTATAGCATTTCTCAAATACCTTTTCTCAGGAATATCACGCAGGCCAGGTTCCTTCTCTCCATCTCTGTTAGCATCAAAGCTCGTTTTAATCTCTGTTTTTGTTACCGTTGCCTACAGGAAAGTCTGCAGAATGAGAAACCTCAAGCCAAATCTCCCGGAATGAAAAAACAGAGGCCTACGTATACCGTCAGTGTTGCCAAAACCTCACAGGGCTTTGTAAGTTTTGGTTATCTGCAGTCACTTTTCGTTGTTTCACCTGTTCAGATTTCTCTGCCGGTCAGTTTCAGCTTTTTGGGGGGTGGGATTCCAATTTTATCACAGCAGAGGAAAAAGTCAGTAAAAATCACCGGATTTTCCTTGAAGCGGGCATAGAAACAATTGTACTCTGAAATTAGTTCTTCTTGACTTTGCTTCTAAGCTAAGCTAACATGTATTTGACCCTAAAAAGTTTCTTGCTCATTTCTCTCCCCCACCAAAAAAACCCCCACACTCGGTAGGTTTGACTGCAATAATGTTAATTTATTCGCAGTTTTATTTCTTTCCCATCCATAGTGTAGCAATAGCACTTAGACTTGTATACTGCTTCACAGTGTTTTCCAGCCCTCTCTAAGCAGTTTACAGAGTCAGATCTTGGCCCCCAAAAATCTGGGTCCTCATTTTACTGACATTGGAAGGATGGAAGGCTGAGTCAACATTGAGCCAGTCAGGATTGAACTTCAGACTGTGGGCAGAGTTAGCTTGCAGTACTGCATTCTAACCATTGGGGGGGGGAGAAAGGGAAGGGAAGGGAAGGGAAGGGAAGGGAAGGAAAGGAAAGGAAAGGAAAGGAAAGGAAAGGAAAGGAAAGTAGCAATAGCACTTAAGACTTATAAACCGCTGCTTCACAGCCCTCTTTAAGCGGTTTACAGAGTCAGCGTATTGCCCCCAACAATCCAAGTCCTCATTTTACTGACCTCGGAAGGATAGAAGTCCGAGTCAGATCTTCGCTGTAAGCAACGAATCCTGTTCTGATAGGAGAGTAAATTCCTGTTCCACACAAACACTAGATAATTAGCCCTGTTTTAAGGAGAAATTGGGGAGGTGGGCTTTATGACGGACTCAAGACTTAGCCAATCAGGGATTGTGGATCCAGCTGGAATTTGTTTATTAATTGAGGATTTTCCCCCTGCTACCATTTCCTGTGTTATCTTTGCAAGCAGTGCTGCGAGAATAAAATAAAATAAATAAGCCAAAAATGCAATAGCATCCTTAGAAGATATTAACAACAATATGCAGCTATATGCATTTAAAAGGTGAGCGAAATGAGTTGCAGAAGGAAACGTCATACACATTTAGGCAGGGATTGTCTTGTTAGCCGGCTGAATCATCAATTCAGGTAGTCTCTGAGTTACAACAATTCATTTAGTGACCGTTGGAAGTTTCAACGGTGCTGGAAAAAGTGACTTATGACCGTTTTTCACACTTAATGACCGTTGCAGCATCCCCATGGTCACTTGATCAAAATGGCACCTGACTCGTATTTATGACGGTTGCAATGTCCTGGGGTCATACGATTCCCTTTTGTGACCTTCTGGCCAGCCAAGTCCACGGGGAAGCCAGATTCATTTAACAACCATTTTACTAACAAATGCAAATGATTCGCTTAACAACTGTGAGGCCAGAAAAGCCTAAGTGAGCCAAACTCACTTAGCCCACAGCCTCGCTTAGCCAGAGAAATTTGGGGGGGGGGGCTCCATTGTGGTTGTAAGTGAAGGACCACCTGAGCTTGCTACACAACCAGTTGTTGCTACACAACAACGTCTAGTTGTTGGGTGTGGGTTGGAGAAGGCCAGCTGTGTTTCTCTTGCTGACAGAAACGTAGCTTGGCTTGATCCAACTCTTAGAAATCTCTCCCGATTCTGGATCGTAGACCACGTCGATTAGCGGTATCTCGCCCATCAAGCGACCGATATCCCAGTTGGAGAAGTCCATCCAGGCTTCTCCCAAGATAATGAAGTTGGAAGAACATGACTGCGACCCTCCTGAGGTCTCCGATCAGCAAGGCCAGGAGAACGTCCCCAGGTCTCGACGGCCTTCGTTCCGTGAATCGACCCCAGAGCACCAGCACGGAGAAGCTACCAAATCGTTGATACTCAGAGAAGATTCCCCTCCTGCGATCTGTGAATCAGGTAGGTGGAGAAACAGGTTTTTGTTTTTTTAAAAAACAAACAGACACAGGTTGCACGACGAGAAGACTTTCTCCAGAGGAGAGATAAAAAAAAAAAAGATGAGAAGCAACCTGGAATTAAGGATAAACTTCCTGACAGTGAGAACAATGAATCAGTGGAACGACTTGCCTCCAGAAGTTGTGAACGCTCCAACACTGGAGATTTGTAAGAAGGGATTGGACAGCAACTTGCCTGAAATGGTATAGGGCAGTGATGGCTAACTTTTTTGCTATTGAGTGCCAAAAGCAAGGGGAGTGCAGGGGAGTGCCCACCCATAATTCTATGTGCCCCGCCCCACGCACATGCGCGTGCCCTCCCCCATACTCCCCCCACTTTTGGCATGTGATGGCACGGTGGGCCACCAGACTTCCGGTGGGACTGGAAGTTGGGAAATGGGCCATTTCCGGTCTCTGGAGGGCCTCCGGAAAGGTGGGGAATGCCATTTTCGCCCTCCCCAGGATCCTAGAAAGGCTCTGGAGCCTGGGGAGAGCGAAAAATGGGCCTTCCGGTCCCACCTGAAGTCAGGAAACGGGCTGTTTCCGGCCTCCAGGGGGCCTCCAGGGGGGTGGGGAAGGCTGTTTTTGCCTTCCTCAGGCTCCTAGAAAGGCTCTGGAGCCTGGGGAGAGTGAAAAACGAGCCTTCCTCACCTCCCCCCCCTCCCCGAGGCCCTCCAGAGGCTGGAAACTTCTGTTTCCTGACCTCCGGTGGGCCCAGAAAACCTGAAAATCAGCTGGCTGGGACACTCATGCGCGCCAGAGCTCAGCTCGTGTGCCCACCAATATGGCTCTGCGTGCCACCTGTGGCACGCATGCCACAGGTTCACCATCACGGGTATAGGGCCATGATGGTGAATGCAGAGCCTTCTCTGTGAGCATGTGTTCTGGTTTGGGCACTTGGTGCCAAAAAGGTTCGCCATCACTGGTATAGGGTTTCCTACCTGAGCAGGGGGTTGGACTAGAAGACTCCAAGGTCCCGAGGGGGAAGAGGGAATGGAGCTGGCAGAGAGAGAGAGAGAGAGGTGGAGCCTGAGCCGTCTGTCAGCCCTCAGATGGAGAGTCAACAGCCCCGAGGTCTGGAGGTGGCTGATGAGGAAGAGGAGGAGGAGCTGGATCTAGTGCCTGATGCGTGGATGTGCAGAAGGCAGAGGAGAGGAGAGCAGTGGAAATCTATGGGCCGGTCCTTGGGACAGAAGAGCCACTGCTGTTAGCGAAGCCCCACCCTGGGGATAAAAGCCCCACTCTGGGGATAAAAGGCAGGGGGCGGAGATGTGGCAGACAATTATTCATCTTCCAGCCGGACAGACTTGTTAGCCTGCAGTGAGAGAGAAACTTTTTGCCGGGGCTGCTGGCACTCCTAATAAAGGAATCTTTTGAGTTAACTTCAGAGGGTTTGTCGTGTTTGGGGAGCTGGGTCAGAACAGGTCCCTTCTGAGTTTCTTTCTCCGCTTCCATTCCTTCTGAGGGCCGAGTTTCCTCTTATCCAACCTTCGAGCTGCGGCTCTTCCTCCTGTCTCCCAAGGGAATTCTCACAGCCCTTTTCCCCAACGGAGCAGCCTTGAACCTTCAAATGCTCCCTGCCTCCCAAGATGCTTAATAACAAAGTCTCGGGCCCGTCGTGTGGCATTCACACTTGTGTTTTTCTGCAGAGGTTGCCAGTATTGTGATCAGTAGCTCTGAAGACACCGAAGACGACATCGTGGTGAGTGTGAAAAGGAGGTCCTTGTTGTTCAGGACTTGTGAGGCAGATAGTGCTCCTCAATTTGGCAGTTTGAAGAGGTATGGACTTCAACTTCCAGAATTCCCCGGTCTGCGTGGAATTCTGGGAGTTGAAGTCCACACTTCTTCAAGTTGCCAAGTTTGAGATGATGATTGATTACGAAGACCTTCATCGAATCCTTTGGTTCCTATGAGAAGCAGATAGATAACTAAGGGAACTTTTCGCCAAGGACATTTAGGATTGTATTCTTCAATCAGAGGAGCCTTTAACTGCTAGCCTTGGGCAAATGGAGCCTCCACATTTCAACTGCAGTCTACCTGAATTGTCAGTTGTCAGGGAACCAGTGCAGAGTGTAGGCCGTGTGAGTTTCTTGGAGGCACCAAGTTATGGTTGCAAAAGGAGAGTTGGAGAGCCTTCCTTTCCTAAGCGGGTCCCTTTAGAAGTGTTGGGAATAGATGACATGCTGGATTAGGAATTCTGGGAGCTGTAGTCTCAACAGCCCGGGATTCTGGGAGCTGTAGTCTCAACAGACCTAGGATTCTGGGAGCTGTAGTCTCAACAGGCCTGGAATTCTGGGAGCTGTAGTCTCAACAGCCCTGGGATTCTGGGAGCTGTAGTCTCAACAGGCCTGGAATTCTGGGAGCTGTAGTCTCAACAGACCTAGGATTCTGGGAGCGGTAGTCTCAACAGGCCTGGAATTCTGGGAGCTGTAGTCTCAACAGGCCTGGAATTCTGGGAGCTGTAGTCTCAATAGCCCTGGGATTCTGGGAGCTGTAGTCTCAATAGCCCTGGAATTCTGGGAGCTGTAGTCTCAACAGCCCTGGGATTCTGGGAGCTGTAGTCTCAACAGAGCTGGGATTCTGGGAGCTGTAGTCTCAACAGGCCTGGGATTCTGGGAACTGTAGTCTCAGCAGCCCTGGGATTCTGGGAGCTGTAGTCTCAACAGCCCTGGGATTCTGGGAGCTGTAGTCTCAACAGCCCTGGGATTCTGGGAGCTGTAGTCTCAACAGCCCTGGGATTCTGGGAGCTGTAGTCTCAACAGCCCTGGAATTCTGGGAGTTATGGTCACCTAGAATTTTGGGAGTTGTAGTTACAACACTAGGAAAGACTGGGTGCTTTGTCAGTATGATCCAGGAAAACCGGTTGAGATTTTTATGTGTTTTTTTTCCCCACCAGTGACCATCTGCTTGTTCCAGACTGGTTTCCAGTAAGCTGAGCCTGAGTTAGCAGCCACAGGATTGGACGTACCATTGGCACTTTCCTCCTATGCTTCTTCTAATCACATCCCTGAAGAGCGAACAGCTGCCTCCGAGCACCAATTTCGAGCTGTGGTTTCCCTCCAGGGCCATGGAAAACGATTGTCTCTTTTCTCCTTCCTTCCTTCTGCACAGTTTTATCCAGCCTGTAATTATAAGCACTGAATCACGAATTGCTAATCGTCTCCGGATGCACAGTCTTTCCATGGGTGGCAGAATCAGGTGGGGGCTGTTGAACGAAGATATTTTATCTCTCTACTCCACTCCTGGGCGTGTTCTGCTAGCAGTTGCTTCCAAATAGCCTTGGGATATTTTTATTTTTGCCTGATTTATAGCTCAGTAACTAGAGGAATTCAAAGGAAATTGCTTTCCACCTTCAGTCAGTGGGTTTGGCTTGCCTGGTTTTCTGATTATTACCGAAAGTTTGTATGTCGTACTTTTTCTTTAAAGGACAAAGATGCTTCTTTGGGCTTCTTATATATTATTTCCTTATCTCTTGGGGGGGGGGGAATCCTCTCTGGTTAGAAGACAGACAACTAACCTTGTACCTGCTGGCTATATTAGAAATACAAATCCTGATGGCTTTTTAAACAGATCCAATGAACTCTGATGGAGATCATCAATTCAAATGAGGTTGAATCTCTCAGTTTCAAAGTCCGGTCAGTTTCTCACTGATTATTCCTGAATCCCTTCTGTCTCCTAGTCTGGCTGTTAAAAGAGCCAGTAGCCAAAATACACTGGATTACCCTTAAAGAAACCGAAGGATCTTGATTTGTAGAGTCACGTCGACAGCAAGATGGGTGGCGAATAAAATTAACAAATAAGTAAGATAAAATAAATCATAAACCACAGTGTGTGCCCACTGCGAAAATGACATGGGACCGTGATGGCGAACCTATGGCACACGTGCCACCAGTGCCACGCAGAGCCATATCGGTGGGCACGTGAGCTCAGCTCCGGCATGCATGTACATGCCGACCAGCTGATTTTCGGGCCTTCTGGGGCCACTGGAAGTAGGGAAACAAGCTGTTTCCTGCCTCCGGAGGGCCTGTGGGGGTGGGGAAGGCCCGTTTTTCTCTCTCCCCAGGCTCCAGAGCGTTTCTAGGAGCCTGGGGAGGGCAAAAACAGCCTTCCCCACCCCCTGGAGGCCCCCGGGAGGTCCCCCGGAGGCCGGAAACAGCCATTTGCTGACTTTCAGTCCCACCGGAAGTTGGCAAACGGGCCATTTCCGGCTTCCAGGGGGTGAAGAAGGCCGTTTTTGCCCTCCCCAGGCTCCTAGAAACGCTCTGGAGCCTGGGGAGAGAGAAAAACAGGCCTACCGGGCCCACTGTGTCAAAAGCGTGGGGAACGCGGGGGCAGGGTGCATAGAATTATGGGTGTGGGCGCACGCACGCGCGACCCCCCCCGCGTTCACCTCGCTTTTGGCACGTGATGGCAAAAAGCTTAGTCATCACTGACACAGGATGTCACCATTCTTCATTAAAAGAACCACATTAGAGTAATTTACTCTTCCTAATAAGCCTGAAGAAAGATGCAGCTATTTTAATGAATCAGCTGATGAATGTGCTGTGTTTTAAAGCAATCCCAGGGTTCCTCAAATGGAAATTAGGACTGCCAGGCTAAGCTAGCATTGGCTTAATCATGGGATCGGGGAATTAACAAGATTAGCTGGCTTCACGCAGTGCATTAAGCTCTGAGCCAGTTTGTGTGTGTGTTTGCACTGCCTGGAATTGTTTTTGTAAAAATAAAAAAAGGGATATAAATAAGTTAAATAAACAGGTTTTACAAGCCACCGTGGCTAAATTCCCCCCCAATATGCTAAGCCAAAACCAAATAAAGGACATTATATGACTAGCCTGTGATTTGTGAAGTTGACTTATATTGTGTTTGTGTGGTGTAAAGACAGCAGGTGGCAGTCTAGCACAGGAAGAATTTACTTGCCTTCCTTTAGTTCCTTAAAAAAGCAGAATATTTGTAGCTCAGGGATGAAATGGATGTTTCATTACCAAACTAGATAGCATTATCAGTGCTAGAAGGGAGAGGGGTTTGCAGAGAGGAAGGGGAGGACTGTGGGGTCCTTGGTTTTTCTTTGAGCTCGGCTGTTTTCTTGGAGATGTTTCATTACCCAACTAGGGAACATCATCAGTGTTAGGTGCTCTCTGAGCTTGCTTGTTTTCTCACAGATATTTCATTACCCGACTAGATAACATCATCAGTGCTAGAAGGGAGTGGGATTTGCAGAGAGGAGGAGGACTGTGGGAGCTCTAGAAAAAGTGCAGAGAAGAGCAACCAGGATGATTAGGGGATTGGAGACTAAAACGTATGAAGAACGGTTGCAGGAACTGGGCATGGCTAGTCTAGTGAAGAGAAGGACCAGGGGAGACAGGATAGCAGCCTTCCAATACTTGAGGGGCTGCCACAGAGAGGAAGGGGGTCAAGCTATTTTCCAAGGCACCTGAAGGCCAGACAAGGAATAATGGATGGAAACTGAACAAGGAGAGATTCAACCTGGAAATAAAGACAAATTTTCTGACAGTGAGAACAATCAACCATGGAGCAGAAGTTACCTTCGGAAGTGGTGGGAGCTTCATCCCTGGAGACTTTCAAGAAAAGATTGGACTGCCATTTGTCAGAAATGGTGTAGGGCCTCCTGCTTCAGCAGCGGGTTGGACTAGATGACCTTCAAGGTCCCTTCCAACTGTGCTAATCTAATCTAATCTAATCTTAATATCAAAAAAACCCTTGGTGCTCTCTGCGCTTGGCTGTTTTTTTTGCAGAAGTTTCATTACCGAACTCGGTAACATTATCAGTAACCCTGAGGTCATTAAGAGTCTGAGTGGTGTAGGAGGCTAATGCCTCCTACTAAGGCAGCATTTAACATCCAGCTGCCTGCAGTTACTGCGAGTTCAATTCTCACCAGGCTCAGCCTTCCATCCTTTCTAAGGTGGGTAAAATGAGGACCCGGTTTGGGGGGCAATAAGCTGACTTTGTATAAAATATACAAAAGTATGAAGGCTATTGCTTAACGCATTGTAAGCCACCCTGAGTCTCTGGAGAAGGGCGGCATATAAAAATAAATAATAAATAAATAAATAAATAAATAAAGTGAATCACACAGATGTTAAGCAAGGCTGGCTTCTAGGGGCATTGCTTCTTAATGGGAAGGTTGCAAATCTTCATCAATAAATACATGCTGTTTGCCAGGTGCTCAAATTTTCTTCTCGTGACCGTGGGCATACGATGGATGTAGATCCGAGGACCGGTCGTAAGTCGGTATTATCAACACATTTGCCTTCATTCGTGAGAAAACAGACCAGATATTCACAGGTGTATCCGCATCGGCCAGATTGAAATATGTGTGACGTACGAAAGCACAGCTGGGAAGTGTAAAACCTACATTTACAACCAACGTTATTATAAATATTTGGAGGATATTCAGAGGCCGGGCCAAGAAATTTTTTCTCGATGCCGTAATTGCTCCAGATCATTTGAGTGAAAGAAGGGGCGAGCGTTTTAAATTAACCTGTAAAATAACAAGTTACCTTTCGGGGCGATAAATAAATAGCACTGCCCAGTTTGAACTAAATCCCCCGAAATGGCAAGCTATATAATATTCAGCCTGCTCGATTTGCAGTGATTAATTATGTATCGCTTAATTTAAACGGTTCTCTGCGTGAGAGCCGGTGGCCCGAGTCTGGTTTAGCGGCCCAGAAATCCACCGCGTTTATGAAAATTGATTTCACTCCTTCCACCTCCCCCTTTCCCGAAGTAATGAAAGCCGAAGGGCAGAATTTAGGATTAATTTATGCTGCCTAATTTCAACGACATAAATTCTCTCCGTGAAGTTAGCTCGGAGAAGCGGTTAGCTTTTCTAACCGGTTTATGCTTCTAATCAAAACCCTTTATTCGAATATTGCGATGAGTCCATAGCAACAAAGATCTTGCAAGCCATTGTTGGCCCAGAAAAATGCTTCTGCCTGGGATGTAACCAGTGGTGAAGTCCAAATTTTTTTTACTACCGCTTCTGTGGGCGTGGCTTGGTGGGCATGGCAGAGGAAGGATGCTGCAAAATCCCCATTCCCACTCCACTCCAGGGGAAGGGTACTGCAAAATCCCCATTCCCATCCCACTCCAGGGGAAGGATACTGCAAAATCCCCATTCCCACCCCAGTCCAGGGAAGGATACTGCAAAATCCCCATTCCCACCCCAGTCCAGGGGAAGGATACTGCAAAATCCCCATTCCTTCTCCACTCTGAGGCCAGCCAGAGGTGGTATTTGCCGGGTTTTTTTTTTTTTTTTTAAATTTGATTTATATGCCGCCCTTCTCCGAAGACTCAGGGCGGCTTACAATGTGCTCAGCAATAGCCTTCATCCTTTTGTATATTTATACAAAGTCAGCTTATTGCCCCCACAAACTGGGTCCTCATTTCACCTACCTTAGAAAGGATGGAAGGCTGAGTCAACCTTGAGCCTGGCGAGATTTGAACCTGCAGTAATTGCAGGCAGCTGGTCTTAATAAGCTTAATAACAGGGTGCCTTAAACCTCTGTACTACCAAGGCTCTCTCCAAACTACTCAAAATTTCCACTGCCAGTTCTCCAGAACCTGTCAGAACCTGCTGGATTTCACCCCTGGGTGTAAGGCCCAATAAACCACATACACCGAGGTGGAGATTTGCAAAAACATTTACTCTGTGCAGAAAGAAGGACACGGGGATCATTCCCACGAGAGCTGTGCGAAGGCCACTCCTTCAATAATTCCTTTTTATAGATACTCCCATCTATAAAATCCCTCTTAGCTCATCTGAACACTTCATTCATATTTATTAATACGGGTAATCCTTGATTTACGACCAAAACGGAGCCCAGGTTTTTTTGTTGCTAAGTGAGACATTTTTTTTTATTTGAAAAGTTTTACATTTTTGTCAAGTGAATTTTGCCCCGTTTTACGACCTTTCTTGCCACGGTTGTTAAATGAATCTCTGCAGTTTTAAGGTAGTAACCCGGTGAATTAGTAACCTGGTGAATTAGTAACTCGGTTGTTAAGTGAATCTGGTTTTCCCATTGATTTTGCTTGTTAGAAGGTCACAAAAGGTGGATTGTATGACCCCCCGGGGATACTGCCACGGTCATAAATCCGAGTCGGTGGCTAAGCGTCTGAATTTTGATCACGTGACCATGGGGAATGCTGCAACGGTCGTAAGTGTGAATTACAGTCACAAGTCACTTTTTGTGAGTGCCGTTGTACGCCAAGGTTGAGAAACACCATTTGGGTTATGGTGAAGTGGGAGAAATTAGAAAATTAAAAGGTGGTGGATTTCTTCTTCCCTGCAAGTCAATGAAATGATGCTTCTTTTAAAAAGAAAAAAAAGGGCATTTCCAAAGGCAATTGTTTTGCCCCAGCTATGGATCCCAAAGAACGCAGCACACACAAACTCTGAACAAAACTTAGTTTACTCAAATAACGCAGTTTTAGCAAATGCCGGCTGTTAATAAGCGTTCTTAACAGCCTGCCAGAATTCCACAGATAAGATAGTCAGTGTCTTACTGGAGTTGGCAGAAAACCCCAGAAGCAAGATTGCAGAGACATCCCAACGCGATGATTAGCGAACTAAAGTTGTTTCCTGCAGCTTGTTGCAATCTGCATTCTTTCTTAAATAGGCTAAGGGCGTGGCCAATTAGCCCCAAGCCTTACTCTTGAGGAGATCTCCTCCTGAGGAGCCACTCCTGCCTTTTGGCAGCTCTGCATGCCCGTGCATTGAGAAGAGGCTCCTCCTCTTCGTCCTCTTCACTTAAAGGAGCCTCTGGAGGTTCTGAAGGCCCTGGCTGAATCCCCGCCTCTGGCACCACATCTTCTTCAGCCTCCTCGCTGTCCAACTCAAGCACTGGCTGCACAGGCTGGTCTCGGGATCAGCAACAATCCGCGCAGGCCACTGGCGGGCCACAACAGCAACAAATAATAAAAAAGCAGGAATAGGTAAGTGGCTGGGGAATTCTGGGAGTTGAAGTCCATCCATCTTTTAATTGTCCAGGTTGGGAAACACAGCATCAGCACCTTGAATTGTGAGAGGAGAAGGGAGGCATTTTGTGTCATGAGATCACGCTGCGCATGTCGTTAGGGCGTCCCTGTAGTCTGCTACAGAGGCATCGGGGGTGACTGGGCCAATCACCAGGAGATGATGAGTTCTAGTTTTGCATTAGGTATGAAAGCCAGCTGGGTGACTTTGGGTCAATCACCAGGAGACAGTGAGTTCTAGTCTTGCTTTGGGCATGAAAACCAGCTGGGTGACTTTGGACCAATCACCAAGAGACGGTGAGTTCTAGTTTTGTATTAGGCATGAAAGCCAAGCTGGGTGATTTGGGCCAATCACCAGGAGACAGTGAGTTCTAGTTTTGTATTAGGCATGAAAGCCAGCTGGGTGATTTTGGGCCAATCACCAGAGACAGTGAGTTTTAGTTTTGTATTAGGCATGAAAGCCAGCTGGGTGACTTTGGGTCAATCACCAGGAGACAGTGAGTTCTAGTCCTGCTTTGGGCATGAAAACCATTGGGTGATTTTGGACCAATCACCAGGAGACGGTGAGTTCTAGTCCTGCCTTAGGCATGAAAGCCAGCTGGGTGATTTGAGCCAATCCCTATTTCTCTCAGCCCAACTCACCTCACAGAGTCGTTGTAATGGGGAAAATAAGAGGAGGAAGGTATGTCTACCACGAGTTGTTTATAAAAATAACAGAAATAAAAATAAAAAAAGCCCACCCCATACACCCAATCCCTTGCGCCTTGCACCTATTTTAATTTCAAAGAAAGGTCTCTCTGTGCGTGAATGTGTGTGAATTAAGACGGGGTCTCCAACCTTGGCAACTTTAAGCCTGGAGGACTTCAACTCCCAGCAAAGCTGGCTGGGGAATTCTGGGAATTGAAGTCCACCAGGCTTAAAGTTGCCAAGGTTGGAGACCCCTGACTTAAGAGACTAAGGGGTTAGTCCTCTTTGGGCTACCAAGGCAGGAAAACGAAAGAGGAAAACCAGTTGAATTAAAAATCCCATTTATCCTGATTTGAGTTCAGGATAGAAAAATCAGAAGGAAGAAAACGACTGCAATCCCGAGAAAGAAGGAACGACCACAGCTGGGGCGTTCAGAGACAATTGTATAGATTCTCGCTTCGAGCTGTCTCAGGATCCCGGGCTGTTGGCAATGGCTTTCCTGCCACAGCTGCCCAGGTAAAGGAGGAGGAGGAGGAGGAGGAGGAGGAGGAGGATAACAATACCCCTCCGTCCTTGCTTGGGCTGGGCAGAGGGGGAGGGAAAGACCCTGGTAGCTTGGAGAGAGTCTAGACATGCTAAATATTGCATGGCTTTCGCTGGGGAGGGGGCTGCGCTTTCCACACCCACTCAAGGAACGGGGAGGTGGGTCGGCCGGGCTGGGCGCGTCTCCGGGCGCTTGGCTTGCGCGCTCGGGCTCGGCCAGCTCCGCTGAGCGAAGGTGAGGCTTTCTCAAAGGGGCGGTGGGCGGCGATCGGGAGGAGAGGGAGGGGGCGAGACTCGGAAAGCCGCCGCTCCCATCCCGAAGGGAAGGAAGGAAGGAAGGAAGGAAGGAAGGAAGGAAGGAAGGAAGGACCCACGGCGGCCCCCCATCCCGAGTGGGGCGGCGCCACACGCGAGCCTAGTCCCATGCCTGGAGTTCCGCAGGGCTCCCGCGCCCCCCGAAGGAAACGCTCTCGGAGCCTGAGATAAAGCGGTAAGGGTCTTGCAGGAGGCTTAGAGACGGGGTCCGGGAAGGTTGGGGCGCTGGGAAGCAGGAGCAACCTGTAGGTGCCAGGTGCACCCCTCTCGCCCGCCAGGGAAGCTCCCGTGGACAGGTGTCAGTTTACCTGGGCGGGGTGCGACCCCCGTGGTTACATCTGGGAAAGACGATGGGGGGGGGAAACCAGGGTTCAATCCAGCTGCTTGTCTTCCGTGGGAAGCCAGAAAGGGGTCCTTGGATCTGAAGGACCCAAACACGTGGGGGCTGATTTTTTGGGGGAGGATGGGTGGGTGTTAGCTGGCATCCCGAGAGAGCTCAGGAGGCGAGGCGAGTCAGCGCAGGCTCTGGTTTGCGACTCGGTCAGGATCAGCGCAGCCCAACCCGAGTTTTATATCTTATTAGCCCAAGGTGTGGTTTATTATTGACTCAACCATGGTTTAGTGAGGTATGTAGATCCTGAAAAGGGCGGGGGGTGGGGGGGGGAGGCGGATGGACGGATAAGGTGGTGGGGAGGGGCAGCCCTGCTGGCAAACCGTTCGGGTGGCACGTGCCAAAGGGGAGAGGACGGGCGGGGCAGTGGAAGGGAAAGGGGGGGGGGAGAAACCCCCGGGACAGACAGGCGGAGACGGCTGAGGTGGTCCTTCTCCGCCAAGGAACGGAGACCGAAGCTGCGAAGGCTCCGTTCTCAGGATTCGGACTAAGTCCCGAATCCGGCGCAAGAAGCTGGGCAGAAGGATCAGATTCAAGCGAGATAAGGGAGAAAAAGGAGGAAGACAGGCGATAACGGGTGGCAGACTACACGGGCACGCCGTCCATTCAACTCTCGAGCCAAACACGTGTCGAGCTCCTGGGTCGTTAGAACCCAGCACGGATGGTTAGTTGACGGGTCTCCGGGCGCCCACAAAGCCCCGAGGATTTGCGTGGCAAACACGCCAGGGTGTGTTTTGTGAGGGGCTCCAGTTCTTCAGGCTGCGGATGATGGGGGTGGTAGCGTGAGACTGTTGGAGGTCTCCGTCTTCCTTGGCACGGAATATTGGGGTGCAGCTCCGATAATCCCGTTACGTGGGGAGGATAGGTGTTGCTAAACGTCTCAAGGCACGGGGGGGGGGGGGCGGGGGGGGAGGAAAGGGGGGGGGGGGCGTCTGATTGAGGGGTCCTGGAAGGGGTTGGGGGGGGGCGCAAGCGTCTCTCAGCCTCTCTTTCTCTTCTTCCTCCCCCCTTTCTTCTGCAGACCCAAGATGGTGACCTCGCTTCTGCTGCGCGCCTGGCTGGCGGCCTCGGCTTTCTGGTGGTCGCCCAGCGCCGGCTGCCCGGAGCCTTGCGCCTGCGTGGACAAATACGCGCAACAGTTTGCCGACTGCGCTTACAAAGACCTGCAGACGGTGCCGTCGGGGCTGCCTTCCAACGTGACCACGCTGAGCCTCTCCGCCAACAAGATCACGGCGCTGGCCCGGGGCACCTTCGCCGAAGTCACCCAAGTCACCTCGCTCTGGTTGGCCCATAACCAGATCCGCGCAGTGGAGGAAGGCACGCTGGCCGTGCTGGGCCTCCTGAAGAACCTCGACGTCAGCCACAACCAGATCTCGGACTTCCCCTGGGCCGACCTGCGCAACCTCAGCGCCCTGCAGCTGCTGAAGATGAATAATAACCGGATGGCCCACCTGCCCGCCGGGGCCTTCAGCTCCCTGAGCGACTTGCGCTCCTTGCGCATCAATAATAACTTCTTCAGCGGCCTGGCCGAGGGCACTTTCGACCCGCTGACCTCGCTCTCCCACCTGCAGATCTACAACAACCCCTTCAACTGCACCTGCCAGCTCATGTGGCTGAAGAACTGGACGGAGCACACCTTGATCTCCATCCCGGAGAGGGAGACCATCACCTGCGCTGCGCCCGAGGCCTGGAAGGGCCAACCGCTGCTCAACGTGCCCTATATGCGCTGCGCCCCGCCCGCCGTGCGCCTCAGCTCCCAGCCGGACCTGCAGAGCCTGGCCTACGGCTCCTCGCTAGCTTTGCACTGCCACGCCGAGGGGCTCCCGCGGCCCGAGCTCACCTGGCGGATCCAAGCCTCCGGCCAGACGTTGGAGATCGCGGGCAGCGAGGCCGACCGGCTGAACGCGCTGCCTCCGGCGGCCGCGGGGGAGAGGCAGAGCTTCCGCGCCTTCCCCAACGGCACCTTGCTGCTCCCTCACCTGGGCAAGAAGGAGGAAGGCACCTACACCTGCGTGGCCGCCAACGAGGTGGGCAGCAACCAAAGCTCGCTCCGCGTGGCTCTGGCCGACGCCGCCCCCAAGGACAAGGACTCCGTCGGCAACCCCAAGACCGAAGCCAAGGCGCCGCCCGGCGAGCGCAAGGCGTCCAAGAACAGCGTGATGAAGCCGGAGGAGAAGCGCAAGCTCCTCTGGCCTCCGGACTCAGACGCTGCGCGCGATCCTGACACGCCCGGCGGTGGCGGCACGGAGGCCGAACCCAGCGAATCCGACTCGGGGGCCGACGCGCCCTCTCGGCCGGCCGGCTTCGAGCCTCGCTGCGGCGGCGGGGTCGGCGGCGCAGGACCGATCCAGCTGCCGCGCTACGTCTCCAACCACGCGTTCAACCAGAGCTCGGAGCTGAAGCCGCAGAGCTTCGAGCTGGGCGTCATCGCGCTGGACGTGTCGGAGCGCGAAGCCAAGGTGCAGATTACGCCTTTCTCCGGCCGGGAGAAGGGCCAGCTGCGCCGGCTCTACCTGTGCCAGGAGAGCCGTCGGGGGGCTCCGCCGACGCTGGTGCGGTGGTCGCAGATCGAGGAAGGCCTGAACGCCTACTGGTTCCGAGGCCTCGTCCCGGGCACCAACTACTCGGTGTGCCTGAGTTTCGCGGGGGGCGAGGACTGCCAGGTGCAGGTGGTCTTCAGCACCAAGAAGGAGGTCCCTTCCCTGCTGATCATCGTGGTGGTCAGCGCCTTCCTGCTGGCTCTGGCCACCCTCCCGCTGTTGGGTGCCACCTGCTGCCACCTGCTCTCCAAGTACCAGGGCAAGACCTACCGCCTGATCCTCCGGGCGCAGAACCCGGCCGACCAGATGGAGAAGCACATGGCAGCCGACTTCGACCCCCGGGCGTCTTACCTGGAGTCGGAGAAGAACTACCAGCCCAGCGAGGTGGGCCGGGGGGAGCTGGAAGAGGAGGAAGATGACGAGGAGGAAGAGGAAGAAGAGGGGAGGGCCAGCGAGGGCGGGGGGCAGCTGGCCAGGGACCCCAGCTTGGCGGCTGGCTCCATGGCGGAATCCCAATCCAAAGCCAACCAGGAGGAATTCGAAGGGGGCTCCGAGTACAGCGACCGCCTCCCGCTCGGGGCCGAGGCCGTGAATATCTCCCAGGAGATCAACGGCAACTACAAGCCTCCGCCTCGCTGAGCTGGCCCGGCGGGCTCCCCTCCCGAAACTCGGAGGCGCTCGCGCTTCCTCGCCGGACCCGCGGATCCATCGTTTTATTGGGAAGGGTCTCCGCTTGGAACAAGGGCGGAGTATTTCAGCCTAAATTGGCTGTGGTTGGGGTGGGGGGGGGGGTAGGGGGGGGGGTTTTTTGGGTTTTTTTTTCCTCCTTCTCCCCGGCCCTTTCTTAAAGGGGGCTGACCTATTCGGGGACAACATTTGAAGGGGTCCGTCGGATGGGGGTGGGGGTGGGGAAGCTAAGCGGTGGAGAAATTCGCACCCAGCTTTCGAAGTCGGAATGATACGTGCACAGAGCTTCAGTGTTGGCCTTCCTTCCCCTCTCGTTGACACGCGTCTCCCTTCCTTTCCCCACACTCTCGTTGAATCCATTTCTTGGTTAAAATCGAAAGGTAAGGCTCGAGTAGAACCCGGGTTTGAGTGGGGTAGAGGGTCCCTGAAATACTGGCGCCCCTACAAAACTGCGCGCGTCCGTTTAAGTTTCAGGAGGTCGCGATTGCTGGACAGCTCCTCTCCTTTGTTCTAGATGGCCAAGCCGCCCGAACAAACTGCCTAGCCTTCCCATCCCGTAACGGCTTGGAAAGTTGGTCGTGTAGACGATAAATAACCCGGGTCAGGGTCGCTGCTCGGCAGCAGATCCAGGAAGGTCCAACGGAAAGGAACAGGTTTCCTCTGACCGTGTGAATAATAATTGGAACCCCTGCTGTAGAAACGTGTCAATGTATTTGTGTGCATTTTGGACCGCTGGTGGATTCATTCAGTCGCGTAAAGAGGCCGTGTTTAGTCCCACCCTCCTCCCGTCGTGAATTTTCCCTCCCGGACCCCCCCCCACCTGAAACGTTTCCCTCATGAAGATCCGTGTTTCCTAAACGTTTAATCAGTAGAATAGTTGCTTAGATAAACTTTCCTGCCCTAGCTGGAAAGCAGATGGGTGGCATTTAAAGACTGGAAAGGAAAAAAAAAGGAGAAATAGAAGGACAAAAGGAAAGAGGAAAGAGGGAAAGGGAAAAAGGAAAGGAAAGAAGGAAAGGAAAGAAGAAAGGAAAGGAATGGAAAGAAAAGAAAAGAAGGAAAGGAAAAAGGAAAGGAAAAGAAAAAAGGAAAGGAAAAAAGAGGAAAGGAAAGGAAAAAAATATTGGTGGGTCTGGCTGCTGATTTTGGGAGCGAGATAGTTTTTGCATCGGTGAACCTGTGGTTTTATTAGTTTATATTTTTAGACTTTTGTCAAGGAAAACAACGCAACAAAAAAAAATGCAAAGGCAACAAGAGATCAACTAAGAAAAACAGCACAATTTTCCTCTCTCTCCAGAGCTGGGAGAAATAACACCACTTCTATACTGTATATACGATGGTTTTCAAGTCTAAAAAGAATTAATGATACAATCAAACCCCAGCCATAAGAGGGGTATATTTCTGTAGATGGAAAGTTCAATAAAAACAGACCCCCCCAAAATACTCAACCACTCTGTTGCATCCTTATTTGGCGAACTGCGAGGGGGGGAAAACGTACAGTAGATTGAATTCCGAGCGGTAATGCGTTGGTTGCCAATTTTGGAAAAGAGGAGGTGTCTATTGCCAGGAGGGACCTGCCCTTTTCCAACCTCCCCGTCCCGTCCTTTTCTCCCCCCACCTCCACCCTTCCACCCCCATCCCGCTAATTCTCACCAGAGCTTCTAGAAGCCCGTTTCCGTTTAAGGAAATTAGTTTCATCGTTTCTACTGTCCTCACTTTTTAAAAAAACCCTATGCGTATGTATATATGTTTCTGCGCGGAGGGAGGAGGTCAATTCGAGGGGAGCAATTAGATTTTTAGGGGCGGCTTGACTTTAATTGCCATAATTTTGGGGCAGCAGCGAGGGCGGGGGGAAAGGGGTGACTTTACAAAAAAATAGAATACAAATAAATGAATGGCGGAAAACACAACCATTTGTCTGAAATGGTCTAGGGTTTCCTGCCTGAGCAGGGGGTTGGACTAGAAGACCTCCAAGGTCCCTTCCAACTCTGTTATTCTGTTAATTAATCTAAATAGCTAAAACTCAAAGAGCAATTTTTAAAGGATTCTTAGCGAGCCTTTCCTGTTAGGCTGTTCGATGTGTGTGTGTGTATGTGGGGGGCTATCAAAGGGGGTCCCCCGGATGAGATCACCCCCCCCCACCTTATCTAATCGTTTCATAAGCGCAAAAATCAGAAAAAGGAAAGGAGAAAAGGCGCTTTGGGATGAAGGTTCGTTCGCTGCCTTAAAAGGCTTGCTGAAACGGGCTTCTGCTTTTAAAGAAGGGGAGGTCTCAGAGCCTCAGCCTGCCGACGGGAGACCCCGATTCTTGGCACAGAGAGAGAGAGAGAGAGAGAGACGTGCCATATGGACTCCGCGGTGGAAGAAGGAAGTCAAACAGCGTTTGACTTCGCGCGCTCTTGGGCGCCCGGAATGCTGTGCAGAATTCTGGCGTTTGTGCGCGGCTCTTGCGTTTCAGCTTAAAGATTTGAAAGGCAGTCCCTCCCTCCCTCGCTTTGGAAACAACGGGAGCCCCAAAAACAACAACCTGTGTGTGCGTTTGTGCGTGTGTGCGAGAGAGAGGGAAAATGAGAAAGAGAGGGAATGAGAGAGAAACAAATCAGGGAGAAAATGAGAGAGAGAGAGAATGGGGAGAGGGAGAGGGAGAGGGAGAGAAGGAGAGAGAGAGGAGAAAGAGGGAGGGAGGGAGGGAGAGAGGGAAAATGAGAATGAGAGAGAATGAGAGAGAAAAAAATCAGAGAGAAAATGAGAGAGAGAATGAGAGGGAGGGAGAAAGAGAGAGAGGGAGAGAGAGAGCGAAAATGAGAAAGAGAGATAATGAGAGAGAGAAAAAATCAGAGAAAACGAGAGAAAACGAGAGAGAGAGAATGTGAGAGAGAGGGAGGAAGAGAGAGAGAGGAGAAAGAGGGAAAATGAGAAAGAGAGAATGAGAGAGAAAAAAAATCAGAGAATAAATGAGAGACAGAGAGAATGAGAGAGAGAGAAGGAGAGAGAGAGGGGAGAAAGAGAGCGAGAGAGGGAGGGAGAGAGCAAAAATGAGAGATAATGAGAGAGAGAAAAATCAGAGAGAGAGAAGGAGAAAGAGAGAGAGAGAAGGAGAAAGGGGGGGGGTGATATCTTGAGAATTGGCAGAGACATTTTTGGATCTGCACAGACTGGAGATTCAAATAGGTCCTGCTTACCAACCAAGAAGCCAGCGGTGCCCAACCCGAAGAGTTCCAAGAGCCTTGGGGTAAAAGTCCCCATCACATCCCCAACCTTAGGCCCTGCTGACTGAGGAACATGGGATTTATAGTGGGAGGGGAACCAGTCCAGGAACGGTGAATTGGTGCAACTTTGCAGAGGTGGGGAGCAGCATGGGCGCACTTGCCATTCTTACCTTTCCCAGGTAGGGAAATAACCCAAAACAACAAAAATAAAAAGAGAGCAAAACTCCAACCCGCCTCAGAGGGGCCTGGAAAAACAACGTCGGGGTCCACTTGAAGGTATGTTAACTTTGGAGCTGAAAGACACCCCCCCCCCCATGGAAAATAACACTGGACTACAACTCCCCTAAAACCCAAGCATTTATTCCCTGGCCCCACACTTTTCTGCCCCAAATGTTTTCTTTGCGGGGACCCTGAGTGAGAAGGAGAACTAAGCAACATTCCCACGTGAAAAGTGTCTCAGTCTCTGTGGACTTTAAAGGCAAGGAGCTCAGGACAGCTTTAAGGGATAAAAAAAAAGAGCTCGAGAGCTAACTGGGTTCATTGGAGCTACTCCTTCTCTTGAGCACTATTAGCAATTAAAAATTGGGGGCGGGGGAAGAGAGAGACAGAGACAGAGAGAGGGAGAGAGAGAGAAGGAGAGAAAGAGGAGAGAGAGAGAGAAGGAGAAAGAGAGAGAGAAAGAGAAAGAGAGAAAGAGAAGGAGAGAGAGAAGGAGAAAGAAAGAGAGAGAAAAAGAAGGAGAAAGAGAGAGAGAAGGAGAGAGAGAGAGAGAAGGAGAGAATAGAGAAAGAGAGATGGGGAAAGAGAAAGAGAGAGAGAAGGACAAAGAAAGGGGAGAGATAGAGGGAAAGAGAAAGAGAGAGAGAAGGAAAAAGAGAGGGGAGAGGAGAGAAAGAGAGAGAGAAAGAGAAAGAAAGAGAGAGAGAAGGAGAGAGAGGAGAGAGTAGAGAAAGAGAGAGGGGGAAGAGAAAGAGAGAGAAGGAGAGAGAGGGGAGAGAAAAAAAAGAGAGAAGGAGAGTGAGGGAGAGAGAGGAGATAGAGAGAGAAGGAGAGAGAGGGAAGGAGAGACTAGAGAAAGAGAGAGAGAGGGAAAGAGAGAGAGAAAAAAGGAGAAAGAGAGAGAGAGAGAAAGAGAAGAGAGTAGAGAAAGAGAGAGACTAAGCAAAGGTTAACAAACTGCCTTTCTTTTCTTTCTTGATTTTCACTGGGAGCTCCCATGGCTGGAGACCTTCAGACGTTGCATTACATCCTCTGGAGATGAACAGGAGTCACAGTAGAAACTTCTGCAGAAGTGAAATCTCGCCTCGCTCAGTCCGCCGGCTACCCTGGAGGAGGCCGCGGCTTTTTCTTCCTACGGAGGGAAGAGAATATCTTAGTTCAGGGTTGAACTGTGTGGTCCTCTGAGCTTGGTGGTTTCCTTGCCAACGTCTCATTACTCAGCTGGTGCCCTGATGATGTTACCTAGTTTGGCAATGAAACGTCTGCAAGAAAACAACCAAGCTGCACATACCCCCTCCTCCTATTTTCCCCACAATAACATTCCTGTGAGATGATCTGGGCTGGGCTGAAAAAGAGAGAGAGAGATGCATAGTCAGCCACTCAGCTTTTATGCCCAAGGCAGAACTAGAACTCTATTGCCTGGTGATTGGCCCAAAGTCACCCGGCCATTTTTGATACCTAAGGAACAACTAGAATTCACCGTCACCTGTTGCTTTGCCCAAAGTCACCCAGCCATCTTAGATACCTAAGGCGGAACTAGAACTCACTGTCTCCTGGAGATTGGCCTAAAGCCACCCAGTCATCTTTGATGCCTAAGGCGGAACTAGAATTCACCGTCTCCTGTTGCTTTGCCCAAAGTCACCCAGTCATCTTTGATGCCTAAG